AGACCCGTCGATTAATTACAATTAAACAATTTAATCATTAATAATAGTGGGGTATTTATTCTTTAATTTGTTCGTATACTGCATACATCCGTATAATCAAAGCGATCTTAAGGATTTTTAGGGCCTGGGGTAAATTAATTCGGGCGCCCTTCAATCATTTCAATAATATACGAGTATGATAAATAATACACATCAAGTTTGCAAAATATTGTTAAATATAATTTTCCAAACTTCAACCAATCAAGGTCATTAAATTCATCAATACAATGAAATATATTTTCAATAACTTCTCAATAATGTACTACCAGTTACCACATTTCACGAAAATGTTATTTGTAGGGCTTGAAACCGATAGATATCGGTATTTATTTTTTCCGATTTCGATTTTGGTTTTAGATAACGGTATTTATTTTTTCTGATTTCTTTTTTGAATATTGGTATTCTTTTTTTTAATTTTGGTTTTGGTTTTAGATTTTAGTATTTATTTTTTTTCGATTTCGGATTCATTTTTGATTCATTTTTAGTAAAAGTTATATTGATGTAGAATTTATGACAAAATATACATTATTGGTGAAAAATTACAAATCAATTAAATTTATTTTTTATTCCAAAATAATATTATTAAATATTTATAAATTATACACCTTAATATAACGCCTAATCTATTTTATCATTCTGTTTATTTTTAAAATAAATTACCAAAGTACTTACATCAATGTTATACCTAAACAATTATAGTTATATATAAAATTTAATTAGGTATACGTTATAACTAAAGAGCGGATTTAATTGATATTGCAACTTTTTATTGATACCCAGTAAATCAAATCTGATCAAATATGTATTCGAATCAGATTAATAAAGTCTTCCTATTTAATTTAATAATGCAATTTTTTGCAATTATTGCAATTTTTGTATACTTTACGTGATAAAATATACAAATTATTATTTTCAAAGTGATTTTACATAAATAATATAACTACGACGTAAATTTTTACAAGTAGTTAAATGTAGTTTAGGATTTTTTAAATTATATTTATCTGAGTTATCCACAAAACTCACAAGTATAGAAGAATCAAATAGTCAATTACTTAATAGTTTAAACATATTTAGTATAAATACTAAATAAATAAATACTAAACAAATACTTACTAAATAAAAATATTTAGTATAAATATTTCTATAAATATTTCCGGTCTCAATTGAAAAATAGTTAAAGATAAATTAAAATATGTCTTAAAAAAAAATAAAGGGTATAAAACATTAAAACTTAATCTGAGATTATGACAGGAAATCATAATGTTTAATTAGATACACCACCCAATGTTTTAAACTATTTTAAATATAGATCGATAACAAGTTTCGACGTTAAACGTCCTTTTTCATTATATAAACATATTTTAAGTAACAGACGATACAATTTTCAAGAACACAATTTAGATATGTATATAGGTAATTATAAATTTTAATTCAGAAAAATTATATATTCTGTAAATATTATATTGATGTCCATAACATTATTAAGTAAGTAATTAATGATTATATATTTAATATGATTTTACTATGTAATTTTAATGTATTTCATTGCAATTTTAACATATTTTTAATGCAATTATATACGGTCTTTAGTTATAACATTTTACATTTATATACTATTTCGTCTTAAGTTATTAGTTATTATTTATAATGAGTATATAATATAATACTGTTTACAGAGTATATACTGTCTAGACTGAATTTGCAATCTAATTACTCGCATCTCACAACTCCTATATTTATATCTTATTTCTGTTGGACGACCCAACACTCCTCAGGCCGCGTGTACATTGGAGAGCGTTGAGCGTCGAGCGTCACGTCGCGCAAAAATTTTAAGCCCATATAATTTAAATCAGAGTGCGTACATTGACTACAAGTGTCAAGCGTCAACGGCACGGCGCGTCACAAATCAAATATGTTCGAATTTTGACGCTCGACGCTCATATATTTGGCGAGCGCGAATAGTCTATAATAGTCTATAACCATAATAAACAGTTATAACTAATGCCGGGATTTTTATGCAAAAGGTATTGTTGAATATGCAAAAAATTCATGCTCACGAAAATTCAAAAATATGCAAAAAATATGCAAAAAAAAATATTTTCTATTATGTGCTAGAAAAATCATTTCAAATATATTATATCGTATCAACTGTTAAACTTTACATACCTACTATTATTTACAAATTACGAAACAAATAATTACTAATCAATAATATAAATTCAAAATTAACAATATAAAAAGTATAAATTTTGGAAAGAACACCAACACGAAGTTACAAAATATGATTTCAGATTTTTAAAATTGAAGTTTTTACGGTTGTCACGTAGCATACATTTATGATAAATAAAAACTTCTTTTTACTTCACAAGAGTAATAATATTTAAAATAAAATTTGTCTTTAGCTAACAACTCTACAATGATATCATTTTTTTGTCACTTATTTCTCTGCTTAATATTTTATAAATTGTTTTAATTTGTACCTACCTAGATCGTTTGGACAATATTAATAAGTTTATGTTTAGTAAATTCAATGACTCTTCCTCTTTTTTATAAATATACACAATTAAAATATTTCTTTATTTATTATTTATAAAATATGCATTTTTTTATGTAACTATATAGAAATGTGCAATTCATTGTCATTTTTACATACATATGCAAAAACAAAAATACCTATATGAATCTATACAATACGAAACGTCGAATTAAAATTATTCTTGGAGAATTGTAGATTATGCATTTGCATAAAAATCCAGATCCTAGTTATAACTATTTAGAAATTAGAATAACTGATAATGTCGCCTGTATAAAAACATTTAAATATAAATTGAAGTTAATTTTATTAAATAAAATTCAATATTTCATAAAGAAAAAATATATATATATATTAATATAATAGTATATAATATATATTATATTAATATTAATAATCTCAAATGAGTAACACTGAGTATTTTAATTAATCTGGACATTAGGGGGTTTCCTTTTTAATATCCTCCTTATTTAACAACTTCCATCTCTCTCTCTCACCCACACACACACACACACACACACACGTATGTTATTTTGTTATATAAAATGAAAAAACGGTAATCATTTATTTTTAATCCAATCTATTTTTCAGCTTCCACTGTAATTTAGGTGAATGAATGCTTTACTATTATTTGATTTGATATAAATTTAATAAAATATAATATAGTGATAAAATGTCATGATAATAAACATTGATGTATTGCTGTTATCCTAAGTATGTAATTGTTTAGTTATACTAAAAGTAAATTTTATCTGAACGGACTGGTCAGTATGCTTTATAATGGATTAGATTCCAAGTATAATTTTTTGAAACAATATTATAACAACATTTAATTTTGTTTCGTTCTTAAGTATCCGTTTAATACAATTTTAATATAGAAAAATAATAAATGATAAACATTTAATATAAACATTATTTCTTTGATTAAGGATAAAATCAATATTAAATGTTCGTACAAAAAATTCGAAATAGAAATTTAGTTGGAAGACCTAACCTGTGGTAAAAGATAATTCGAGTGTAAAATATTTTAAAAACTGAGACTTTTTGAGATGAAAATTTCAAAAATAACTGTGATGAAGGTCAACCTTTAAAAAATGTGTATACTTTATTAGCATAAATAACCCCGTTTTATCTCGTGGGATTACCAATTGTGATTCGCTAGCAACAGTTGCGACAACAGCATGGATTAGATAATTTTATGCGTTATCATTTTATATAATTTGTGGCCATAGATCAGTTTTAAGAACGTAAGATTTGGAGTTATCAAATCGAGTTTTACCTTGTTGTTAGCGTTTGAGGGCAGAAAAACTTGTTAGTCACGGCCCGAGTTGACGTCCGTGAGGTAGGATGGCAACTACGAGCACTACCAAGATAACCGTTTTGTATCTATATAGTAGACAAAACGTCTTATGAATAACGAGTGACAAAAATCAAACGAATTAATTGGTCTACAGTGATTACATTTTTTTTCTGCATGATAATACAGAAAAAGTACCACGTGCCATCAATGTTGAAATGACTCCCCTGTACAAGTGCAAAACAAAATACTATCTTAGTCTGTAGTATAAATAATGTTATCAAATATTTAAATCAAATTAGCAATGGAAAACATATTTAATAATATTTACGTATTATAATTCGTAATATCTGTAGTTGAGTTCTACTTGAATATTTCTATTATTCATTCATGATTTTTTTAATGAATTGTTTAATATTTAATTTAATTATGATTTTTAAATTTGGGGAAATTTTCTTTTCCTTATCATAAAAAAAAAATTATAAATTTGATTTAAGAATTTAACCTATTATTTACTCTATGGTCAAAATGCTGTACTTTTTTTGCATCTTTAATAAAATATTTACATTTTATTTATGACCCAATAATGTACAATCAATGAAACTTTTAAAAAGTTTACTGAGTGTAAATGGTTGAAACATAAAATTTAAATGATTCATTAAAGATCTAAAAAAAGTATGGTCATATTGACCATTTAGTGACTATCACCAGGTTAATAATAACAGAGACAATTTATGAAAATGATGACAAGATTTGATACTTCAAAATATTTTTGTTATCTTATAATAACACTAATATGAAGGCTATTAGTATATAATTATAACTAAATTTTCATCAATTTTAGTTCAATATATTAAACATTATCAAATAATTAATAAGCAAATTCAAGTATATTAACTAATATAATTTTATATATGAAACTATAATATATTTCTTAATAAACATTACAAACATTATAAATATTCTAATTTTATCAAGGAGTAGGTGAACAAAAATATTGAATTTAAATAAATAATTAAAAATAATATTATTGACAGTAAATAATGGAATATGAGTAAGAAAATCATTTATTAGCGAATAAGTGGACTATCAATTAATTTTGATACATAAAAATATTGTTCTATATTAAAAAATAAAAATAAATATAATGATAATGGATGTTCAAAAACCATTATGTAGAATTATAAAAAATTCTAATTAGACATTAAATCACATTTACCATGGGGGTTGTTGCTGATTTTGTGGTGGATATTGTTGTGGATATTGAGGCGGATATTGAGATTGATTTTGGGCTGGATAATTTTGATAAGCTGGAAATTAAAAATAGTATTTAAAACCAGAGTATTTACAAAAAATGTATGATTTTCTAAACATAACATACATTTAACATTAATCTAAACTAGGTAGCACAGGAAAAAAAAACATAACACCCTAATTTTATTTTTAAATGATAATAATTGGGTCCAAGTATAGTCCAATCGCCCAAACGTAAGTAGTTAAATAATAACTGGACAGAGAATACATTTTTTTTTAAATTTATCATACTAAAATTAAATATAATATTGATAAAACTATTAAACAGTGTAGCCTAAAGCTTTTAAATCTGTGGTCCAAGTACTTGTGAAGAAATAAAAAAAATGGTGGAAAATATTCAGAATTGGATTTATTTAAAAAGTTTTATTTCGGAAGTATGCATTTATGTTATTAAGAATTAAAATATTTTTATTAACAAATAATTAATGAAACCAGTAGAGTTTCAGTAAACAGAATGTATAACAACCTTAAACATGAAACATTGTGAGCAATTGAGTTATGAGCATAACAGCAAAATAAAATAATTGATTATAGGTTGTCAAAATTAAAAATATAAAATATATTTTACATCAAATTGTATAGGATATATATATACTACATTTAGTTTTATTTATACCATTGATTAAACATCAATGCTTATACTTAAACTAAGTCCATACAACCAATATATTAGTTGATTTGAGATATATTTTACCTTGTGGCTGATAATGAAGTGTTGCATAAGGATTATAAGTAGTTGGCATAGGAGGAGCACACATGTACGCAGTTGGATATGGTCCAGTCCTTGGAAGTGTATATGGTAAAGGCATTCCTTGTGGTTGCATTGGATAAGGGAGCTGAGCACTGACTGATGAATTTGCAGGAGCTGTTTTCGTTTATGAAATAAAAGTATGATAAAACAAGATTGAAAATATAGTTCAGAAAAATATATATTTACATTGTTGGTTTGTCACAGGAGCAGGAGTTGGTAATGAAATTGGTTTTTCTCTACTCAAATCTGAAGTTAATGTTTTTAGTAATTCTTCTTTTTCTGCTTTTCGAGCAAAACAAAAATCGGATATTTTGTTTTGTGCCGTAATTAAAATCTAAAAAAATAATTTAAAATTTGTAGAAATAATATAAATAAAAATAAAAAATATGAAACATAATTGTTTATATTTAATTTTAATTGTATGTGTATATATATATATTATAAGATTACTTCAGTCAAATCATTATAAAATTTAGTTCCTTCCATTAAATTATTCTGCAAATCATTATAAACATCATAACCAGCGGCTAACTCTTTAAATAAAGCATCCCTTTGGCCAGTACCACTTTTTTCTCTACAAAATTCTGCATTCACCACCTAAAAAATAAATAAATAAATAAAAATGTTAAAGTAAAAGATTTAAAAACATACTTGTATATTGGATAAAAGCTTTTCTTGTTTAGCCTGACTATCACGAATTTGAGCTTGCAAATGTCCATAAGATTGATCCAAGCTCTCTGTTGACAAATTTGCTTCATGAATAGATCCTTCTTCAGACAAGGCATTTAAGAATTTTGATTTCATGTCAGTTGTGGCACATTTTAATTCAGTTTCAATAACATCTCTTTCATTTTTTAATATTTCTACCTAAATGTTTTAGGAATAAAAATAATATTCTTTTTTTTATATAATAAATGCTTACTTCTTCCATTAAGTGTTTTAATTTATCAGCAGCTGTAGAATTAGCAAAATTGACACTAGAATTTGATCCAACTGGCAGTATACTTTGCATGGCCTCCTGACCTTCAGAAAGCAAATATATTGCTCGTTTATGAGTTTCAAACTTTTCACGAATCATCTAATAAAAATTAAATCTTTATTGAAAATTTTTGGATATAAGAAACTCGTATTTGTTTAACCTTATCAGCAGATGTTGCATTTTTAATTATCTCACGATATTTGGTAATATTGACTCTGAACACCTGTGTAAGAGAACTAGATTTTGTACGATTCCATTTTTCTTTGAACTGTGCTTGAAGCTGTTCATCAGATGTCTGTTCTTCATTTAACATCCGTTCAGACTTAACCAAATATTGAAAAATGTAATTAAAAATTAGTTTAAGATATATTTTTAAAATTTACCTCATTAATAATCTCTTCATTTCGTTTTAATAACTCTGGTAATTCTTTAATCATAGTTTCTAATTTTTTAACTCCGCCATTAATTCGTACACTATTTGATTTTTCTACAAGTGACTGAGGTATTCCTACACCTTTAACATCCTCTAATGCTGCTGGCAAATTCAAAGAAGCTAGACATCTATGAAAGAATACACAAAAAAAAAATAGCACATTATTTTAAAGGATAATAATTAATTAGTAATTTATAAATGATTTTACCCGTTTAATATTTGAGTAGATTCTCTTAATTTAGCAATTTCTGAATTGACAAGTTCTGTTTTACGAACATCATATGCACTAAGTGCTTGTTGAACTGATATTGGCACTAAATCTTCAAATAGATCTAAGAAAAAAAAAAAAAAAATGTCAATTATAAAAACTAATGAACAAGTGGAATTTACTTACCTTTAAATTTGGCAGACAACTTTGTAGGAACAGGAGTAGGTTTAGCAATTGCAACTTTAGTTACCGGTTCTAGATTTTTTACATCAGGAATTCGTTCATGATAAATAAAATCATTATCTTTTTTTGCTTCATTTAATTCCTGTACAGCTTTATTTAGCAACTCATTATAAAAACTACGACCACATCGATCTTGGCCAACTTTAAGAAATGAAATGGCCAACTGAGAAAAATAATCAAAATTAAAAAAAATTATTAGATTATATTATACATAAATTAATTTGTTGTAAAATATATCATACATGAAGTCTAGCTATTTGTTCACCAATAGTTTTATTGTTCTTACAGACCATAGCTTGATAATATTGAGTCATAGCATAAAACATTGCTTGTTTTCCATACACCTATAACAATTTAAAATAAAATATTTTTGACCTACATTTTGCATGTGTACAATATTTACATGTGAAGTCCAGTCTTTATCTAATGACATCATAACTTGTTCTCTTTCCATCATTTTCATTGCTTCCGTATAATATTCTTCACATTGTGCACACAATTTAGCTATGGATTGATCTTTCATTTTATCTGAAGGAAAAAATAATATATTATAAAATAAACCATTATACATAACATCGTTTTAATAATTAAAAATTACAAATATGAAATATTATATATAATAATTGCAATTCAACTTTATCCCACTTCCAAAAAGTAATAAAACTCTAGTAAAATCAAGATTAAATATTACAATAAAAATATAAATATTATTGTTTTAGAAAAAAATAAATAAAAATTTAACAAATTAAGATATGTAATTGATAGTAATAATAAGAGCTATAAACAATCTTATCTTACCTTTATTAGCTTTAATAATAAAAACTTCTTGAGCTTGGGCTAACATAAGTGATGATAACATTGCTAACATATCAGGATTTAAATCTGGAGTTGGATCTTGTTGAATGACATTCATCACTGTAGTTTTTAAATAATTGAATATACCAGCAGATTGCTAAGTAAAAGTTAAAAATTTAACAATATATAAATATTTATTATAATAGTATTATTTGCTTTAAATTTAGAATTTTATAAGAATAAGTGAATTTGAAAGTATACAAATAATAATAAATTAAAAAAAAATGAAAGAAAAAAAATAAATATTTTATCATATACCATTTAGTTTTTAAAATATAATAATATTTAAACACAGTTGATAGATAAACATATCAAGATTAAAGTATTAAAGAAAACAAAACTCCTTTAAAAAATACAAAAAAATTAAATTAAATACATCAATTATTTATTTAAGGAAAGTGTTCGGTGATTCCCATGAAGAAACTTTATAAACAGTGGCGGTTATTAAAACCACCATAGCTAATTTTTATACATACATCAAGGTTTTATTTTTATAAACTTGTATATTTAAATATATTCTTTTATCTTCATGTAAATTAAATATCATATACTCAATAAATTAATTTAATAACTTATAATTAATTAGGAAAATATATGAATTAATACCTAGATTACTTAGAAAGTATTATTTTTTTTTTAATAGCATTGGCACTTTTTTTTATAAAATATAATATTATTTACTTTAAATGTTTAGAACACTAGATTGATCAGTGTATAAGGTTTACATTTTAAATTATAGAGTAATATATATAGTAAAACAAGTAATTTATTTAAATCAATTTTGATACATTATGCCAATTTTTAATAACCTTGAAAATCTAATAAAATAGTTTATTTTTATGAACTAGTCATTAAGTGCATGTAAGTTTGTATTACAAATAGACATAAAAAATCACAAATTTTTTGTTGAATTTTTACTATTTAAAACGATCTATGAAACTGTTATTGAGAATTTTCTTGTGAATAAAATATTAAAAATCATCCAAAATATATCAATTTAAAATTGATCTGGAATATCAAATTAATGTAAATATTAATAACAACTTTTTTTGTATTGCAGGTATAAATACACAGAAAAAAATGTATATGATTAACCCTAGGTAAATTATATATAAATATCAAAGACTTATTAACTAATATTTGTTTATAAATCTATAATAAATATAAGGGAGTGGCATCTAAGTTGATAAGTCAGTTGTGTTTAAACATGATTAGGAAAGAATAACCTGCAACCACCTTTCAAAAAATATTCTCCACACACAAGTAAATTACGGTAATTATTTCAAAAACTGTATCTTTTTAAATAATTCAACAATAGATTAATTTTAACCCTAGTGATCACGACCCTCTTAAAAATATAATAAAATAGGAAAATTATAAGGCAACCCTATTTTTTTGAGGAATTGTGTTTTCTATTTACATTACTATTATCCCCAATTAGTATTCAATATATTACATTTTTTTCTACTTTTTAATTATTATTAGTTACATAAGTTGTATAGTCTGTTCAGATTAAGAGTGCCCAAATTCGCGCATGTCTATCGAAAAGCCGATAACAGTTAGATACCCGTTGATATCTAGACGCTCTATGATTCGTTGCCATTGTTCGACCGCCATTGTAGTTTATTTAAGTTGGTGACAGTTGCCTTGTATACAGATTACTATTACAAAAATCTAGGTTTTAACCTAGTTATTTAAAATAGAACTATAGCGTGGCGTTACGAAAAGATTGTGGTAATACAGTTCACTATGTATAACAGCGTTGTAACGCATCGGCATACTACAACGTTCCTGGTGAAAAAGCCACATGCGCAGTAAAAACCAGTTTTTGTCCAAGTGACTGGGCACACTTATTCTGAATAGATTATAGTTGTTTAAGCTAATGTTATTTTTAAGTATAGATCTGAGATGCAAAATGGCAATGAGTTTTATAACACAAAAAAAGCCAATTATAAAGATGGTAATAATTTATGATAAGCTAAACATAAAATATAGAACAAGGGAAATATTGATCAATTTATAATTTATAAATTTTGAAATAATGAAAAATACACAAAAGAAAATAGATACAAGTCAATACAAATATTATTAAATATTTCAGCTATACCACTGCTATATGTAATTTATATTACTAAAGTAAATTATAAATATGATAAATTCAAATATTTTTTTAATTTTTACTTTTAAATTAATATTTATGTCAGTTTAATTTACTTGAAGAAATTTGGCAGCAAGTTTCAATCCCTCATCAGTTTCTAAATTTTGTGCAGCTGCTATAGCACTTTGTTGAGCAGCAATATTGAAAAGTACACATACTCTTTCATAAGCAAATGAACTAAGGGCTGATGACATAAATAATTGATTAACACAGTAAATATTTTAATCAAATGTCAATTAATTTATGTAATCTACTAGAAAATGATTTCGACATACTTAGACTGACTTTTCCATTAGCAAAAAATGATGTCATTTTATTGAATGCATCTTTCCATTTAAATGGAATTTGAACTTCAGATGGTGGGACTTTAGATTCCAAAGTAGTCAGCTGATCATAGTAACTAAAAAAAATTTTTCAAAATAAATGACAATAAATTTATCAAAAAAAAAATTTAAAAAAAAATGGGTTTACGTGTATATTAGATCCAGCGAGTTGTCATATTTATCCAACACCTTCCACAGTGCTTGGTTGCGAAGCTTATTTAGTTCATTAATTGCTTCTGAATAGTCTTCAGGATTATCAGCTGAATTGTAATGGGAAGAAATCAGGTGTCTCAAAGGTTTTACGATATTCACATCAGACGCCCGTTTTGTTGGCACAGACAACAACGCTGTAGTCGCCATACCTGGAGTCGAACCACCTCACGAAATATCACACTTAAAAAAATTAAAATAATGCAAAACAAAGAATTTTGCAATACGTCGATAGTACACGGTAATCGGTGGCGACTCAGATATACACCGACTAATATATACTTAAGATGAAAGTCTGGGGCATGGCCATGTAAACGTTTTTCGCATATGATAGGTGAAAACGGTATCTATTGTTTACTAAGGTCTGGATTATGAATAGTAAGATTTTTGATGACTAATAATAATAAACGTCGGTACAAGAACCAACTATGATGATTAGGTAATGTGTAATAACCGCCTTCCCATCCACTTATCAACCTACAGTGATGCCAAATAGAAAACATGGTGTCACCATATTATAATATCTATGGGTATCCCCGTTAAGGTACCATGATAATTATCCGTCTCTATTATCACGCTTTTGATAAGAATTAACATCATGGTTATCACTAAAGATTATTACTCAATTTAGTCCTTAGTATGATGTTAGTGGTATTAAAATTTATATTCAAAATTATGTAAAGTTATTTATATCCAGAAGTATTTGTGTACATTAATATTAAATATGAATAAAACTTATTTAATAAGACGTCTATACAATTTCCACGAAAATATACTTAAACGGCACCAAGTTCAACGGTACAAATCCAGTATTTGTACTGATATAAATGAATTTATCGTATATGATCAGTTTATATGTAAACGTCGGTCTCAATCAAAACGCAGTGTTTTAGTGCAGGTATCTTCAGAAAATTCATGTTGCGATTTATATTCATATTGTTCTAAATTTGGTTCAATAATAAATATGTTTCACTATCAACTAGCTGGTTCTAATCATTTTGTACTTACTGAATTTGATGACCAATCAGCCGTTAGTTCATTGCTTGATCAAAGTACATTTATTGAAGAATCAAACATAATTTCTGTTAGATCACCATTTCTTTGGTTTCGTTCTAGCTCAAGTAAAAATAAGTCAAAACTAATCGAAGAACATAAATTTAATTTTCCTTTTCAAACCAATCAAACAATGATAGAACCAAATATAAAAAATATTGGATTAGGTAAACTTGATTCCTTGTCAGATCAAATGTTATTATTATTAGAAAGAACCCAATTGAACGAAATTGGTACAAGATTAAGGTTTTTAACAGCAATGCAAATTGAAAATTCTCTAAAGGGTATTTTCCCACTGTCTAAGGTGTTACCATTTGGATCATCAGTCAATAGTTTTGGCAAGATTGGTTCAGATATCGACTTGGTTCTAATGGACTGCAAAATTACAAAACATAAAACTAGTCGATTGATTTTTCATGGTAAATGTATGTCTAATAGCCGGACACATATACAACGTAATATAGAAATACTTGGTGATTTGATACAGTTGTTTTTGCCTGGTTGTTCAAAAGTCAAACGTATTTCTCAAGCAAGAGTACCTATTGTCAAGTATTCTCAAGATTTTATTGGTGTTGAATGTGATCTCGCAGTATCCAATGAAACTGCTGTTAATATGTCTGAACTTTTGTACATTTTTGGAAATTTTGACTACAGAGTTAGGCCTTTAGTTTTTGCTGTAAAAATGTGGGCCAAAGAAATCAATTTAACAAATGATGTACCAGGTAGATGGATAACCAATTTTTCAATAACTCTATTAGTGTTATTTTTTTTACAGCAAGAAAAAATTATTCCTAACATTCAAAAATTAGTGAAACATGCTGACAATAATGATGTTCGAATCACAAATGAAGGTGTAAATTGTACATTTGTTAGGGATATCTCAAAACTTCCTAGAACTGTGGAGAATAAAAAAAGTTTGGACCAACTTTTACATGGGTTTTTTGATTATTATGCATCATTTGACTTTAATACAAATGCCATATCTTTAAATTATGGTAAGGCAATTAACAAGCCTGAATATAGTGCATTATACATTGTCAACCCATTAGAAGTACATTTCAATGTAAGTAAAAATATGAGTTCTGAAGAAATGGAAAGATTCAGAATAGAACTAAGAAATGCTGCATGGATGATAGAATCTTCTTTGGTAAATACTAATGCATTCAACATATTAGATCTTTTTAAAGGTTATGAAATTAATAAAAAGAAAGACACCCTGTTCACCATTCAACACCAAATAAGAAATTCAAATAGATTAGTCACCATTAAAGATTTATTTGAAGATAACCTTCCAACAACAGAAGAAGACAAAAGACTGAATAAACAGTTAGAACCTAATGAAAGAGAAATTTAGAGAAATTTTATATTATAAATTGTATAACTGTTAAAGTTATTTTTTTGTTTCCAATTTTTTTTTTACTTAGTATTGTTACACATAATAAATATAATAAATACGAATGTGTTATTTATATTTTACTTTAGTAATAATTTAATAGTTAACTACAAACTAATTTAATACTATTCAAGTTAAATAATTATATTTTATAATACTTTTTTGGAAATAATACTATAACTGTATAATCTATTTTTGAGAGAGAAGAGATATTTGGGTTTATTTTAATTTATTAAATCATTTTTATGTGAACCGATTTCAAATACAAAATGATTACTTATAATGATACAGAGTTTGAAAATAATGGTTATACATTTTGGTTTATATATCACATTAAAATAACATTATGATTTATATTTAAGGGTTTAGAAAATTTTTTTACTAGTTAATTAATGCAATTGAAAGAATTTAATTACAAATATTATTTTAAACATAACTGGTAGTTAAAGAAAATAAAATAAGTAATAGGTTGGTGGTTTAACTTGGAAATTAAGCTAAATTATATATTGTTATGAATTTATTAGATAGCCAAATATTTATGAGAAATTAATCAAACCACATAAAACGCACTTGATGTTTACCAACTAAGGGTCATAAAATTAACACATCTAGTAGATACAGAATTATACATTTTTATTCTGTTTATTGTTGCATATTTGACCGTAAATGCATTCACCGCAATTACATATTACAATTAATTCATTCGAGTGGCATAACAAACTTAAACCTGAGGAGGGCTGTATTGCTTTTACACCCTCCTCAAAATAATTCTAGACATGTCTGACAGTTAAAACAATTTATTGCACTTAAAAAAGGTAGGTACTAATTTTTTTTAAACTTACATAATATCATTTTTGAGAACTTCTTAAAAATATTAGTCTTAGTTACAAAAATTAACTTTACAACATACATTAGGTACCTACTAAAAAAATAATAATCAACAATAGGTAATCTCTTGGTAACCTACACAAACATATAATTTCATGGGGAGGGTAATCGCACCCCTTAAATCAAGAGGGGTTCGGATCTGGACCCCCCGTTGAAATTTCTACATACTCAACAATTTAATAGTAAATAGTATAATAATAGTATACCTATTATGTATAAACCATACTATAGTATATTAACAGTAATTTGTTGATATTGAGTTAAACTAAAGTGGGGTAAGTATGACACGAAAATGCGAAGTTCGTTTTTAAATTTAACATAATTACCTATTTTTGTTTTTATTTTAAAATTGTTATTGTTTCATAATGTAATACCTCTAAATATACATAATTTAAATTTATAGTCAAAAAAGTTATATCACTCAATTAGAAATATATATATATATTTTTTTTTTATTAATTTTAAAATGTCACACTTGCCCCGTAAAAAGGGGCAAGAGCAAAATCGAATTTCTTTTTATTAGTATTATATATAATGATTTATGGAACTAGTGAATAATAAAGATTAAAATAACCTTTAATTTAATTTTTGTTTCATTTAAATATCTTTATTCGTTAAGAATTGACAGAGCAGTATTTAAATTTAATTACTTACCCATATTAAACAGATTAGCTAATAAGCAGCTGTATAATATGAACAAAATAATTTTCAACTTATTCAGAATTTATAATTGATACAACAAAAAAAATTTTACTTTTTTACAATTTAATAAAAAACTAATTAGTATGAAGAATTATTTGTTTTTAAACAATTATTATAGGTTACATACCTAAAAAGTATACCTAAGTAAATATAAAATATTGTTCAACCCCCCCCCAGAGCAAAAAAAAAAAATTGTTTTATTATTGATGATGTGTAATATATTCATAGTTTCATTATAACGCTTTGAACTTAAAATATACAACTATACAAATATTATGACAGTTAAATAATTATATTGATAGATGTTTGAAAAGTTTTGTTAACTATACTGTTTTTATATTCCAATAGCTATTAATTTACTGTAATGTAAAAGTAAACTGTAAATTGATAAAAAAGTTGTATAAAAAAATATCTATTTATAGCAGTTATTTATCTTATTTATCTGTGCAACGAAAAAAAAAAAGAAAAGATAACGATTAATTTTGTTACCCCCCCCCCCCCCCCCCGAGCAAGATTGAATATATGCTACTGCTACAGACTACGAAATAAAAATGTCTTTAGATACAACCGTGCTGATAATAAAAACGTACCAAAAGTATTTTTAGTTATGAAATACGTATCTAAATGGATTTCCTGTGCAAAAAAAAATTACTATTGATGAAGTGATAGAGGAGTTGGCCAAAAAATCGAGATAACTGGAATTTATTTTATAACAATACTTTATAATTATAATGCTAAATACAATATAGATACATATATATAATATTACATAAAACTATACGATTATTACATTTTATATTTAGTTCAACTTCCTCCAAAAACTGCATAAGGACGTAACTATTACAATTTAATATATAGTTTATATTAATTATGTATAAACTGTGGACTCCCAGAAAAAATTGAAAATACGCCTCTGCATTCCGGTTTTTATAAAGGGACATACGACAGTTGATACTTTATATTAGGTACGTAGAATATTTAATAAAATATCAAAAGATAATTGAAAATTATAAACAGTATGTTAAAAAAGTACTTTATATAATATTAATAAATATAGATTAGCTGTGAATGAAATTAACATTAACTCAATCGTAATTTTTAGTTGAAATAATTAAAAAACTGGAAACTCAAAATATTATCTGAACATTTTTAATAAATGAATTAAAAAAAAAAAAACATTTTTCCGGAATAATAATTATTTATTCGTAAACCGAAAGAGGCAACATAAAAAACAATATTAAATTATATTTTCTTCAAAAACAAAGGCCTAAAGGAATTATGTATATTTAATTATTAGAAGAGGTTCAAAGAGATAAAATCTATCAAGACCTGGGTAGTGATTTTAAGCTTTTTTAAATTTGCGCCAAAAACTTCAATTGACGTTGAACGATAATTTTCGATATACAAGCATTTATTAACAGATTAATAGATGGCAAGATTTCACCGAAGAAAAACTAGAATACCATATTGTAATTTATTTTTATATAAGTATATATATACTCGTATACCTAAAAATAATAAATTATAAAACATTAACATTTTAATTTATTTTAAAATTGTAATATATATAAAATGTATAATATAAGTACCAATATTATGTATATATATTTTTTCTCTTGCCAAACTAATGAATTAACCCTCAGTCGCTTTTTCAGTGTGTTCTTTTCCTTCTTCGTCTGCTAAATAAACCAGCGTCAAAATCATGTAGGTATTTTCTTCTTCACTACTTCTTTCACTCATAGTAAATGTATATAATAGAAACTAATGTAAAAATAAAATATGAATGTAAGTTTGCTAAATGCTTCATATTAAATACTAACGAATGGGTTGGGTCCTGGGGCGGCTCCAGAGCCTTGATTAGGAGAGGGGCTAGTTATAATTTTACAAAATCTTATAACAAAAAGAAAACAACAATTTTTACAACACAAATTCAAGTTGTCTATTTTTAAAATTGGCAAAAATATCAATATTTGATCTAGAATATCTACTTTATGATATAGGTACATTAATTAGACATAATGCTGATAGTCTATCTTCAGTCATCATTGAACGAAGCCAGGTTTTTAGTGTCCGAAGTGTGGAGAAACTCCTTTCAACCGTCATACCTCTATGGCTCCATTTACATACTTGTGCGTGTCGTATGATAGTAGGTACATATTATAATATGCATTTTTTGTTAACATTATACATTTTTTTATAAATACGGTAGGGGCTTGGGAGGGGTATCCCCTGGTTGGATATGTCAATCACAAGCAGCTAGAGCAAAATACACGAAGTACATACAGCGGTAGAGTTTCGATTTGTTCTGACGCAATGTGTGGATAAAGTTTGTTTCTGTTCCGATAGTTTTAAAATAGGTTAAAAACCTGTGTATGTAAATAGACATATAATGCAGTGATTTGATCGTCCCGGGGTTCTGACAAGAGCCTATATAGACTTACTTCTAGAGAAGGGGGGCGAATCAAACTTTTTTTTAATTCAGACTGAAAATTTACAAGTAAAATTTTTGGTAAAATTTAAATCAGTTGAATCGTTTTTATATATATATATATTTTTTTTTAATCTAATGCCAAATCCACTTAGAACTTTGTGTAATTATTTTTTTTAACACCTGTGTTTTGAAAGTTAAGATTGTTTTATTTGATTTTTCACTAAGTATTGACCCGACAAAAAGCCCAAGTCAGTATTCATAGCTACGCATAATTTGATTTCGTTATAAAATGATCCACATTAAAAAAATTTGAAATGTGTATCTCGCATATAATCAATTCCTTAAATACGGAATCAGGGGGGGGGGGGGGGGGCCCAACCCCCTTTCCCCCCCCCCCCCTAAAATACGCTCATGGATTCGGGCGGCTATGATTGGTATTCACAGTAGTCAATGTTTCATTAGTCATTGTTTAGTGCATTATCGTTGTCATATACCAAATCTTATAAACAAAAAAAAAAAAAAAGTGGAGTTTACATATACCCATTATAGGTAAGAAAAAAAAACTGGCAGAGCTTACACTAGACCTTTTATTATATTTTTATCTTAACCGATGTTCTAGCGGAGTTTACAATCGCCCATATGGAATAAACATACAGGATTTAGTCGGTTTGGGACAAACACCATAATATTTAAAAATCAAAATCAAGGGGGCCAGTTCGGAGCCACTGATTTTTCTTAGGGGACCAGGTCCCCCCTCTTAATGATGAGATACAGAAGGGGAATTCTTCATTCTGTGTATACAGTTAATGGATGTTGGAACAAACCTTTTTGAATATTGAACTCCGTGTGCGCACGTAGTGGCAGCGTGAATTTAATTTTCCAATGAAGCAGCAGTTAAGTATATGCAGTACCCAACCCATTAAAATTATTAAATGATATTAAAATAAACGGGGTTTAACAAAATAATAATAATAATTAATGTCAAATGTGCAAATTATGTATTAAACTTTTGTGTCACAAAAAACCACCCACTCACCACATTTTAGTCATGAAGGCTTCGATAAAATCCGCATCGCACCACCACTGTGTCCACGTATCTTTGCACTAACTTAATAAGTTTTCGTCATTCATTTTTGTACAACAAAATATTGACGACCGTAAAATATGGAAAAAATTGGATAGAAGTAGGTGAGGCCTGTACGGTCAGGCGCCAAACGAGTGAGAACATCACGATTATCATTCCTTTAGGCAATGGCGGTTTTACGGAGGCGAGTCTTGACTTCTCCCACAGGTTAAGCGTTTGGGTTGTGACATATTTTATATGTGGATATACACTTATAAAGAAATCTAGTGATTTCAACCGTATGCCCATAATTTGAATGTTTGGATAAGCTCCCTACACACAATATGGTCTGGTCGTATGTCATATCAGGTCGTGTGTAGACATGTCATTTGACCATGATTCTGTAGTCTGTCAGGTGGCTGTTTCATCCAATCAAATCATGTAGTGTGTATAACTGTTAGACGGATTCTACTTATTAGTCGGCTTTGTATGTTGTTTATTGTAATTTATCTTTTTGGTTACAAAACTGTTAAACAAAAGCGAATCGTCATGCAGTCGCAGAACACTACTGCACTAGTGGAAATAAAAATTTATCTGACAAGTCATGCAGAGATCTTTTCGTCTGTATGCAAAACCTGATTTGGTCAGGCTATCTGTCAGACCAACCAGTTCATATAATGTGTAGAGCTAATGTTTACAGCTATTGCTTATTTAGGTATTTATATTTTCCTTGAAATTACCACGTTTTATAATACGTAATTATAAGATAGTTTAAAAGAACCCCTTTCCCACAGAAAAAATTAAAAAAAAAACACTACTGCCTTAAAGAATATTATTAACCTTACCTTAAAAATTCCGTAAGGGTCACATCACTCCTATGTGAAAATATATCGTAAAAATTCAATTACGTTCTGTTCCAATTAAACGTGCGGCAAACTTTAGCTCTATTGTATAAGCACTGTAAAAATTATGGCATTTCGAGTATGTACTGAACTATGGATCTACTCGTTGTCAAACGCAAACTTTTAACTAATATTTTAAACAGTTGAAACACTAATTGATTTAATAACAGAGATGGAAACTTTTGAGTATAAATAAAAAGTTTATAGTTAAAGTTTATAGTTAGAGATGAATTATAAATTATAAATATGTAAATGCAAATATTTAGAACGTAAATTGTTACTATTACTATAACCAAGAAATAACAACTTAAAATAATAAAAAAAAAATCATGAGATTATATGGATTTGACGATAATAAAATAAATAAGAAAAAATAACTACAATAAAACAAGTTGTATTTATTTAAATTTTTTTCATTAAAGGTATACTGAAATAGTAAACAATATGTTTTTTTTAGATCCAACAAATAATACATAATACTGTTTACTATTTAGTAACATTATGAATGCAAGAATTAAGACCAATTGTCATTTGCATTACCTTAATAAAACCGAATATAAATTAATATAACATTTTTAAGTATAATACCAATAATGTGAAACTGTTAATATTTTGTAACATTATTATTGCTGTAAAATAATTACTTAAACAGTAACACAAAGATGTTAATAAGTATGTTTTGCATAATAATAATAATAATAATAAAAAAAAAAAAAATGGACAGTCTTTGAACTTATTGGTACAAATGTTACATATTACCATTATAGCTAGATGGCATTTTATACAACTTAATTGCCAATATTTATTTAAAAATGCATGACCATTCGTTTTAACATTGTATACTAACAAACGAATTAATATGTATAACTTTTTAGTTGGTCACATTTAATTTAAATGAATTAGTATATTTATATATATATATATATAAATTTTGTCTAAAATTAATAAAATTAATTTAACATATTCATTAGAATTAAGTTACGCTTTAAGAATAATTACTAAATAGATAAAAATTTGTAAGTTACTCATAGTAGTGTCTTTATAATACTAGACATAATATTGATAACTAGAACATAAATATTTTTTTTATTTATTTTTTTTTTACTAATTATCATAATTTACGTTATGTCTCAAGATTATAATGAAATTTTCAATACTACTACGCAAAATATAAACTAAGGGTTTTTGTTGAATTAAATAAAATTGTGATAATAGAAAATATTATTCAAAACGTCTCTTATCATACTCATAATGTAGAACGAAATAATTATTGATTGGACAACCCAAAGGCAAAATTTAATATTAACCCAACAGTTATTAAATATACAAATGCATACAAGTACACACACACATATATATATATATATATTATATAAAAGGATATCAAAGAATATTTATTGTTATATATGTAAATTAATCATGTTCAAATGGAAAATATAATTACAGAAAGATTTTAATTGATAATTTTTTTTTACTAAATATTATATTGTATCTTAAATTGTGTTATTATATTATTAATGTCTATATAAATGTGAGAGGTAGATTTGTTTTGATAAAAATGTATCGTTCTTATTATCATTAATTTATTGTCTAATTAATATTATTAACGTTGCGTACTTTTTTAGCTATAGCCCTGACACGTTTTGTAGCTTTGGGAATAGCCGATTCTAATTTACGTTTAACACCAGTACTTGTAGATGGTTCCTGTTCATCAGAACATTTTACTTCTTCAGATTCACCTGGTTCATTTTGTCTTACAGAGCCTTCAATTATGTTTTGTGGAGTTTGATCACCCTGCAATCTAGTTCGAACAGGATTGGTATTCAAATTCAATACAGGTTGTCCAATAGCTATAGACAGATCATTTGCAGTGGTATTACATGAAGAACAAACAGAAACTGCAGATGATGAAGATGCAGATTGTAAATATTGAATTTCTGTCTTGCATTTATTAAGTTCCTAAAAATAATAAATTTGTATACATAAGATAAAATGTAATAAGAAATATAATAAGAAGTGAACTTATATTATTATTGATCATTGTACATCATAGTAAAATGACAAGCCAAATTAATAGTATCAAAATATTATTCATTAATATCAATCAAATAAATCAAACAAAAAATAACCAAAAATACTTGAAAAAACTGATTATAGAGTATAAAATGTACAGTAACAGTACGATTTTGACTATCATCGCAGGAGAACATACTTTATCGCGCTTCGTAGTCCATATTGACAACGTCTAATGACCATAGTCTGATCGTTATTACGCAACACATATTTAATAGGTGTGTAACGGAGCGAACCACTTCACATCTATTAATATGGCATCGCTTCAATCACCACCAGCAATGAATTCTAAACGACACTTGTCTTTGCACTCCAGCTCTTCCAAGTATTAGAAAAAAACCAAATCAATTCGCTGTTTTGTTAATAGCCAATGATGAGCTGGTATCGGACTTATTTACATCTAACTCCGATGCTACAGAGGGCGAGTTACTATCACCAAGTAAAAACGTACTGAAATCTATTCATATGCCGGCAATTTACATAAAGAACATCAGAAACTTTTCTGAGTTTCATAAAAATTAAAACACCTCACGGGTATTAATGATTTTTCGTGTAAGTCCACACCATCTTATTTAATAATTCGGGCCAACAGTCACCCCCCCAGCCTTTGCCACCATTTCAAAGTATCTAATAAGCACTAGTGCGGAATTTCATACCTTCCATCCCCATTACATGCACCACTTTAAGGTAGTAATTTGCAATCTACATCATACAACTATTCTATCCAATATCTCAGATGCCCTGGTGGAGCATGGACACTCTGTGGTACGCGTGGGGAATATAAGAAAAAAACAATGTCCGTTACCTCTTTTCCACGTCAAATTGGCACTTAAGAATAATAACCACGATATCTTCAACATATCAACATTGCTCCATTACATTGTAGTCATTGAAAAACCACACTCTAAAATTAATGACCCACCTCAGTGTTTTAAACGTCAAGCATATGGTCATACCCGCAATTACTGTTGTAACTCACCTAAATGCATCAAATGTGGTGACGACCATCTCACAGCGGACTGCACCAAAGACTGGTCACGCCCAGCTAAATGCGCACTGTGTTGTAGTGATCACACAACCTCATACAAAGGATGTCCAATTCACAAGAAATTAGTACTACCAAAAAAAAAAAACGAAAATGCCAAAACCTCAAAGGCAAGAAGCTCGTACTTGTCATCATGGCAACAACACCAAAGTGGGTCCAACGTATGTCAAAATATCTTCAAAGCAACCAACACACACTATTTCTGATACTATATCTACATTTCAGACTGAAATAAAAATCTTATTAAACCGTCTACTTTCCCTTCTCACCATCCTAATAAACCAACTAACAACAAATTCCCCATAAGTTATCACAACCAATCACCAACAATTGCATTCAACCTATTTATATAATCTATACGCTCTTATCTTTATATTAACTTTAATACTATTATTATATTTTTTGTTTTTTATTTATATTCTATATACTCAATATTATGATACAATATCTTACTGTTAATTTAATTACGTTGTATATAATATAATTATTAAGCTGTAATAGTTGATACTAAAAGCTAAATAAATTAAAAAAAAAAAAAAAATTGTACAGTAAATCAAAGACAAAAAGAGACATTTTTACCGATTACTTCTTTAAAAATGTATTAAAATTGCCCTTATTTATTTTATTTTATAGAAATTCATAATTATCTACCATTATCAGCTAGCAAGACATTAAAGATAAAACAGATAAACCATAAAATAACGCAATGGAAAATTTATATGGAACATATTAAAATTAAACCATTTTAAAATAAGGTAAGAACAATTTAATAATCAACCAGAATATATATTATTAATGTTATTAGAAAATGTATGTCCAAAAATGTACAAACATGACTATAAGTATTAAATGCAGACTAATATACATTAAAAATTAAATTAAGTATGTATATATATATGTATATGCTATAAATAATAAGCTAAATACAAACATAACTAATACATAAAAGATGGAGGTAAAATAAAACAAATCTTATCTCCAAACTAATCTATAAAAATAATACAGCACATTTGGTTCACATCATAGGACAAACTATTTACTCAATAAACAACACCTACCTGTAATAATGTACTAAATTTCCTATTAGTTTCTTCATTTTTCTTATCGTATTCATCCATTCTATTTGAATATTCAACCAACGTTTTATGTTGGTCAGCCATTTGTGATTTACACTGTTTTAACTCTCGTTGCAAATTGCCAACTTGAGTTGTTGATCTAGATTTATTTAAAAACATTCTTATAATTGATTAGCTTATAATCAGTTAGAACTTTCAAAATAATTATTTGAATTTTTACTATACTAACTTTCGTAATTGTTTTCGTAGGTCCAAAAAATCTCGTTCCAAATGACAATTTTGAGACCTAAATGAAAAATTAAGGTAGTCACAATTTTTTTTTTTTTAAACCAACATTTTATCATAATAAAAAACTTAATATTGTTTTATTATTTTTTAGGCTTGGACATTTTAAGAATTATTTACACCTAGTTATACTTTAAGTTTAGTTATAACACTATTCAATTAGTGTTATTCTATATTAATTTTTCATTTATATTAACAGTAGATGTAGTTCAATTAAAATAAACTTAATAGAAACTTATATAACTTACGATTTAATTCCTTGTTTAATTTTACAAACATTCTTTCTTAACATAGCAGCACAATGAGGACTTTCGGATGAAGCTCGTTTACCTTCTAAACTTGACACAGAACCTTCACGTATCATTAAGCTACGTTTTCTTAAACACATACTGGTAATAGTTCTAGTATTGGGTGGACCTATAAGATCATTATTTTCAAGTCCTTATTAAATAATATATAATATTTTATATACTTATTGGTGATTACATACAAATAAAAAACTATAACACCATGACATTTATTTCAATATTTACCCAAACGTGATGGAAATTCATGATAATCATTAGCAAAAAGTCGAATCTCAGGAAGAGTTGGTTCAATTTTTTCTCTAAAATATTCCATGGCCATTGTAGATAAATCAAATAGTTCATCTGTCACTTTATATGGCCTAGCCAACTTTGTAGTAACCTTAATATAATGTAATATTTTATAAACTTCATCTAGAATCTGAAATAAAAATATACAGTTTAATAAATTAAAAAAATATATTGTTATATACATGGTTATATAATTACTTCTCCAGCAAAAAAACAAATGTGTTTTCTCTCAATATGTTTACCAAAAGCCATACGCAATAATAGTAATCTCATATGAAGAGTTTCAACAATATCAGATTCACACGCTAGTGGATGTTGTCGCCTAGCAGATTCACGTCGTGGCATTTTTGTTTTAATAATTTGAAAACGATGTAACATTTGATTTTGTAAACGTTGAAAAGTAAAATTCAACATAGTGCTACATATTATGTTAAATTGTCGAGAAACCTGCAAAAAAAAAAAAAAAAAAAAAAACAGTTTAAAAAAATAGATTTAAAACGGTCATATACTTGTTTAACATACCGCTCTTAATTGAGATATATGTTTGAAATTAGTATAAGACAATATTTTCTCTAGTACTTCATATGGAAGATCCAATAAATTAACTTGATTGGATTGACTGGCATTACATTGTCCTAAACCAACTACACTGAAACTTTTCTCGGGTTTGGATATAACTGCTACTTTAGTAATAGGACCAGAACTACTACTACATTGTTGTCTAGTGGACACCATTTTTTTTGTATAAATTTGATACTGTAATACACCAGAAAAGTTCTAAGGAGTAGGAGTATATGACCCAAATATACCTATAACATATAAATAATAAAATGATAAGTAAATATTATTTCATTAAAATTAGATAACTTTATTATATATGTTCTTTAAATTTATATATTTATAATTATCAATAAAATACCTAAAGAATTAATAATTCTTTAACGAAAAAATATCTAATGATTAATTTAAAAAATTATAATTATTCTTTTACAATAATTACTTAAAATTATGTCATTACAGCTAATATAATATAAAATGATATTAGCTTTGTTAATACCATATAAATAAAATATCATAACATTTTCAAAATCTGAAAACCGTTCATTTCCTAAGTATAGTGTTAACAATACTTATTACTCAAGGGTTCAAAACATGATAAAAAATGAATCAATCAAAGTAAAATACATGTATAATTGCTTCTATCTAACTTATTTTCAATAATCATATTGAAATATTTAGATAAATAAACAAAAATTAGACAAATTAAAAAGTAATATAATAAAATATTGTATTGTAAATTAGTGAAGTATTTAATAAATTATCCAAGTACTATAAAAAATATAGAGTAAATTTCATGTATTTTCTAGGTTAAAATACTTACTTTTGTAATATAGTGATGATAATAAGTAAATAATTAATATATAATAAAGATTAATTGACAGTTAACTATTTAGTGACAATAAATTTTTAAATAAATAAAGAAAATTAATTCAAGATTTTTTCCAACAAATTTGAAAAAATGCATTAAGATTTAATACTTATCAAACAGATTTTGTAGTTCACAAATTAGGACATTTAAAATAATTAATTACAATCAATATTTAATAATAATTAAATTTAATAAAAATGGAACATTTTTATTGTTAGATATATATAATTACATATATATATACATAAAAATTCAAGTACTAAACAAGCATTAGTAGTATTTAATACATAAATGATTATATTTAACTTTAATTTTTACATTATTTTGGTGAGTAAAAAAATATCAAAAATAAATAATAAACAATATTACTAAAATGTATTGAATCATATTTGATCAAATAATAATCAAGTATGAACAAGTTCGAAATATTATATTTTTTTTATTTGAACCCAATTTCAAAAATTTAAATTACCAATAAAATTGAATAAATATACCTAATAAATTAATTTACATAACCAGTTTCAAGTCAATTACATTATATTGATATTTATTAAACTAAAAGAAAATAAATAATATGCATGACAACATACCTAATAATTAAAATTGCCAATAAATAAATATTCCCACCATAAAAATAAATGTGAAAATTTAAAAATTAACTACCTGATATACAACTATTATATAAAAGAAAACCGGTATAAATAATAGTACCTCAACTATTGATTTTAACCCTGCATTACATGTGCACTTGTCTAAATGACCGGGTCAAGATATAATTACATATAAGTTTTAAATTTGTTGAACTATTAATGCAACTAGAACTTCTCATATTATACATTTTTAAATATAATTTTATGAATTTTGTATTTTTAATCATTAAAATGAAATGATTATAATATGTTTAAGTGATCTACTTGTCTATTTGACCAAAACGCATGTAATGATGTTACTACTTTTAGTTGACAAAATATGTTGATACATTATTAAATAAGTATTCATTTTTAGTATAAATATCGTTCTATGATTTAACATCATGTTGCACTGAATGTGAACATTATTTTTGTATAGAACACGCAGCACCACCAAAATGTAACGATTGCCATAAAAATGATAGTTAATTTTTTTATCAAAATAATATTGTTGTAAAATTTTTTTTGTATTTATTTTTTTTCATTTCTTAAATTTTTTTTTTAAAGTTATTATGTGTAGTCCATCTATTTACATAAATAGTATTATAATCAAACAAATAAAGAAAATTTATGTTAATATTGAATTTCAGAAGAGATTATTATACGCGGTCAGAATGACCGTGTACGTGTAATCATGTAATAAAATTGGACGCATGTAACGTAGGGTTAAATTATTATATTATAATTTAACAAATTAAATTAAATCCCTAATTATTTTATTTGTATTAAATTAATTAAAACATTTTATCTATAAAACAAATTTTGAAAAATGTTGACAACAAAATAATAGCTATTACTACCAGCTACCTAAATACAATTGAAACCAAATACTTGCATACTTTTAGTATGATCAGATGAAATAGAAAATGCAGTTTATTAAGAGAAACTAATGAACAAAAATCTTGGATCGTGCACCAGTGGATAAGATCGAACAGTGAAAACACTAAAGAATTTACATTTACAAAAAAAATTACTGACAGTCGAAATTTTATGGGGAGGAAAACAATGGACTTAAGTGGTGTCGCCGCGGACAAAGGCTTGCGTTATCATAATTTTGAGGACTATAGATACGGAGAGGTTGACAAAGGGGAAGGATGAGAAGGGAGGGAAATTCCCATCACCGGGACGGGACTGTGTGCGTACGGAAATCTCGCGCTAAAAAAAAAAAAGTTAAAAATCAAAAAAATTCAAACAAAAGCTCTGGAGGGCCCACGAAAAAATATAAAAGTCAGTAAAATCTCAGAGGTCGTTCGAAACATGGTCCGCGTCTGTCCGTCATTAATGCCAGCGCGAAAAGTACATTGTTTATGTACGCGCGCGTCGTCCAACGTCTCCAGGGCCAGCGGCCAAGAGGAGAATCTGGTGCCGGACGATCACGGAATGCATTACGTTACCTTGGAGTTCAGCAGGCCGCTGAATTACTAGAGCAATTGATGGAGTAGTGCGCGGACAATTGGTACGAATCAGACGGCGGTAGTGTTAAAAATGAAACGATTATACGAGTGTACTTAGAAGTGTGTTAATGTTTCGCACAAATACTGGACGCCGAAACACAGTCAGTAACGACCACCAACTTGGTGTTTGGACGAAGAGTGGCGGAGGGGGAGATGACTGTTGATTGGCAACAAAAAAGTACCAGAACCGAACTGAGCTAGAGTCGCCGAACAAATGAATCCAAGTGCGATCGCGCAACACTGTAATTTGTATGGAAGGGAACGTGTTCCGGACGGGAACGTTGGAGGGGTACCGAAGTACCCCCGAGTAGAGCCGCACAGTGTGGCCAATATTTCAACGGGCACATTTTTCATTATTTCTTTCTCACTACTGACTATCATACACGAACCGCGGTACGTACTTGTTAGGCGCTTTCGTGCCGTCTCCGCTGCGTACTCTTCTTTATGTGGTTCTTGTCAGCAGCGACACAGCAACAGTTACCACCGCCGCTTTGACTGGCGTCCGCTAACCCAAGGTTATTGGCCTTCGGAATTTAATTTTTTTCTGATTTCAAAACCGGAAAGCGGAAGCGTATTACAGAAGAAGAAACAATTTTGAGTATGGATATACGATTACCAGTACACGTAACGTGTCTCTCGGCACCGGTGGCACTGATGTCGCGGATGAGAAAAACATAAACTTTTTCCCGCCTTTTGTCGACTTACACTTATCCTTCATTAGTCGGATGAAATATTTCTTAGAACTTCCTTAGTTACCCCAGAAAAAATCAAATGCACCGTGACAATGCTATACATCTTATTCTTGTCACTGTGCGCTACTATTATTATAAATGTTTTACCGTAAAACAGTACGTAAAAATAATCACTGCATTAGGTGTACATTAATAAGGTATTTTGTCGCCGATGCGTTACAGACATATGTTTACATGATGTCATAATATATAGCTAACCCTTAGCTTATTATGAAAAGTAAAAAAAATGTTTATGTATACAACACCACAAGAAAAGTGATAATCGACTTTGTATAGCATATGCACATGTATATATATATATATTATTACGGATAATAACCGTGTTCGGCGAATTATTATTAACCTGGACCAAATGGAGCCTCTATAAATAATTATTTATAGAGGCTCCAACTGGTCCAGGATTTTCGTTCACCTATATTTCACTGGCTAAAAAACAATCGTTTTGAATTCTAAGAGTAAGTTTTTTTTATTTCTGCATGTCATTGTATTTATTGACATTATTTGTAAATACATACATAACAAAAATACTAAAATGCTATTCTCACATTCGGAAAACGGTTCTGAGTGAAAATCGATGTAAAACATCACGTATTTACTATAAAACTCAATTTAAAAATCCGTGTCTTATACTTTAGATTTTTAAATTCCCTAAAATCAAGGAATAAATGTACGAATATGTACGTATGAACATTATACGTTTATGATATTATAAAACTTCATTGTCATTACAATAAGTAACTAACCTAACTGGACAATCGGTCTTAGGTAAAGTAGTTATTTAATAGTATTAAATAACTACTTCGCTATCTTACCCTATGACTGATTGCCCAGTTTTGACAGCCCAACAACCCATCATATAAATACATACATATTTATATTAGTATGATAATATGCATTAAAAAAATAAGAAACTTTAGTTTTTAAACTTCAATAACTATATTTGTGAACGCGGCAAACGCGAATTATCGGTGAACGCGCAAATTTTCGACTAACCATATTCCGATATTTTTTGTTTTTTTCAACGTGCAATTGTGCAAGGGTAATACGGTATATTTTACACGTTTGTGTTCTACTTTTTTAAAAACAAAGTCAACTAAAATTGTTTAAGTTTACAAAAACAATTGTTATATTATATTACGGTTATAATATAGGTATTTACGTCTATTTGGTTAAATGCGCGACCAAAAACAAAAAGATTTGATTTTCAAACAGTGCGTTTATTTCCGCGTTTATCACGTACGATGGACAATCTAATCCATTTTTATATGATTGATAATCTCTTTTCGCCATGACGCACTGCGTTTGCCACGTTGGATACGGCGTAATGGTTGACATTTTCACTAAAAACCAAACTAATATAAAATCATTTTTTTATCGTAATTATTTTATAATGTTTATAAGAACAGTAAAATTGGATTTATATCAAAAAATAACGTTTCAGTGTTTGATTATACGTAAATCTAATAATATTCAAGTGGCATGTCGTATGTGTACATAATATTTCCCTGATATTTAGTTAGCGAAGTATGCATTTTATGTATACATATTTAAATGTAACATTAAACATTTTAACATAGGAATTGGGTACACCTATACTACGAAGTATACATGTTATGTACACATATCTATAAGTAATACTATAAATTTAAATATAGTTATTACTGTGATGGCATATGTTTAAAACTAGACTAAAACTAACGATGGGGAATATTTTTTAACATAAAAAAAATGTGGTACCCGTGAATTAACCTTCTGTACGATACATCCATTGTAAGAGTTAATGCCGTGACCAAGGGAGGCTTCACCTGATATATCAGATAAATATTTTTGATTAAAATGTACAGTTTAATAATTTTAACAGATGACATGATGTTGATTAAATAGCATCTATATGCATCTATTTAATAGTATTCTACCAATTATTAAGCAACAGAAGAAATTAAAATTGGAAAATTATACATTTATAAAAAAAATAAAAATCCCCCTTTTTCCTTTTGTGTTTCGATCATTCTGATAAAACATGTCAATGTGTGTGTGTTCGTTGTGCACAGGTGTGTCACATATGGAGTAGGAATAATTATATATATATAATATTAAGTTTTATACCATATTATATTACAACTATACGTTTATAAATACACACTCATGTATGAATAATATATAATATGTTAGTTATACTTATCACTTATCAGGAATAATTTTCGTATTTAATAGCGTGACGGTTGGTTAAAATAGCAAATAACCGTTAAGGACTAACTTATTCGGATCTATTATTTTTATAATACTGATTTAGTACCTTTGTAGTTTGTACTCTGCGTATATTGATAAACCAACATATTATTTGAGTGTGTATAATAGGTTAATTACCCAATAATTAGTTAATAGATAATAATGTTGTGTAATAATACTCTAGAAATCATAATAATCAGAAGTCCTCATATACAATTTTGTGGACCAATCCTTAATTTTTTATCATTAATTATCAATCTAGATAATTTTTTTTATGTAATCAGTGATATTAATAAACTGCAGATATGTCAAAACTTTTTCAAATCCCGCGACACATTTCACGTCTACTTTTGTACAACAATTTAAGAGCTAATACTATTATTTGTGATGATAACTGATTAAGAAATATGTGTCGATGTATAGAATATAATACGATATACAAAATAATATGACATTGAGACTGACATAAATTTGATACTTATTATTGATGTAGAATTGTTTAAATCTTTAAATTACTTAATAACTATGATATATTATTAGTGTATAACAATATTTTAAAATAATTTAAATGAAAATTAAATAAAACGGTCTGCCATAGTGAAAATGTAATGGTCATTTATTTTAAAATCGTCGATGTAGGTACATAGGATTACCACGGACTCATGAAAAAATGAAAACACTACGCAAAGATATTCATTTTGTAAGATATTATATAAAGCATTTTCAAATGTAGCACAAAATTAAAGTCTTATATATTTTGTACTTTAAAGTTATATTATTGATATTATTTTGACAAAATTTCCGATAATCTAATTATATATCGGTATACTTTCTTAATTATTTGTAGTATACGAGTATAAGCAATGAAATTATGTATTTGTATCCTTAAATACTAGTCCCTATAGAATAATTGTGATGTGGTCTTGTAAATTTTAATTTTTTAGTACTGTGCAATTTTCAATTGTTTACCGAATTGTCGCTTTTTTTTCGGTGACACTGTAAATTTATATACAATTATCGCCAAATAATTCAATGTTCACTAACGTGGCAGCATTTATGACGTTTACAACAAGATAAACACATTTTATACCATTTTATCACAAAATAGATTAAATCCGTATTTATTTTGAAGTGATGTTTAAAATTGTATTCGTGATACATTGATATGATAGCACTATCAATTTTTTTTAAACTTTGGTGAATCATCAATCTTTTATCTAGATTCTACTCACTACTAGACACTGATCGTTTTGAATGTGTATTTTCAATTTTGTTAAGTGTTAACTATTCACCAATTTTTCTTATAATATATTTATAATAATATATATTATTTACTTTCTGTTACAAAATTAAATTACAATTATCCAAAATTAAAATGACGAAAGAAGAATCTAACACTGATGACAAGCAAATCAAAATCAATAAGTGGGATTACCTCGCTCTAAAAAATACTCTTGATGATGCTGTGAAGGAAGTACTTATTACCAAATACAACCATGTTGAAGATTACTCTCTTATTGATTGCCGTTTGTTTATATGTACATTTGCTGTGTTAGTTGCTGCTTTTGCACTTGGTTGGGATTTTTTCAATCCTTTCCCAAAATCACGATTCGTTCTTACAGTATGTGTTGCTTTATATTTTATTACAATGGGTGCAATTACACTGTATACAACATACATGGAAAAAGGCATTTTTGCTGTGACATTAGAACGAGATGAAAGTGGTTTTAATCCAGATGTTGTATGGGAAGCCAGCAGTTACATTAAAAAACATACGGGTACTTACTGTTTAACAGTAGTACGCAAAGATTCAGTTGGAGGAGATATTAGAGAACGTGAAATAACCAAATCAGTTGCTAATTATTTTGATGAAGAAGGAACATTATGTCAAGACGTGATTGAAAATGAAGTAACCAAAGTGAGGGAAGCTGTTTTGAAATTAAAAAAAATTGAATAATTTTTGATTTAATTAATGTATTTAAAAAATATATAACTTTTGAATAAATCAGTTATATTATATATATTGTATTAATATTTATTCATTAAAAAAAAATAAATAAAATTGTAGGTAATTTATTTTATATTGTACTTATTTAAATTGGAAACATCAATTGGGAATATTTAGTAAAATACCTAATACTTAAATGTATGGATATATAGATTAATATTAATTATTGGGTCAAAATCATTGTTCAGTATTTAGTTTCTATTTTAAAATAAGTATGGGGTTATATTTCGATTTTTATAAGCATTGGTAATAATCAAAACGTAAGATTATTGGATTTTTTTTTTGTGTGTTAATAGTTTACACTTTCATACACATCATTTATGTAAGAGATATAAAAAAAAAGTATTTAATAATAACATTCATGTATAATCCTTTTAAAATTGTATATATTTTTGAATAAAATACTAATTTGATTGTTCAATACTGTAACAATGTTGTATTGACTAGATTATTTTAAACATTAACAATTGTTTTTAGTACCTGTTACTACTAATAAAATTATAATGATTTTTATTCTTTACTTTGATGGATTGTGTTTATATTAATTAATTTAAATAAAAGTGTATCAATTTATTTTAACTAATTAACCATTTTATTTAATTTTTATTAAATAAAATATTTAATGTATGTACTTATAATGTGAACTCTATTACTGCAGTAATTAATAATAATTCACCTATTAGAATTAGAATTTCAAGATATAAAGATCAATTTAAACAAATTTCTACCAGTTTAAAAGTAAAATAAACTATAGTGGAATAAGTCACTTGTCAAGTTTAAAAAATAAAATAAGCTAAAATTATGATTATTGACAAATTATACACTTATATTTATTACTGTAAATAACATGTAAAAATATTATTCTTAATGTTTCATTAAGAATCATACAATTTTTGAAAAATATTTTGTAATTAAAAATAAAGTTCTAATAGGTATGCACCTTAATGAAATTAATTGTAAAAAATAATAACGTAAAAAAATACTAAATATATATAAATTTAGAATTGACCACTTAATAATAATTATTGTTAATTTGTTAATGATATTCAAATAAGTGTTCCATGACTATTTTAATTCGTATAATATTTTTTGTTATATATTACTAATTTAATGATTGTTACGATTCGAAAGATGATTAATTTATTTGAACAATTTCAATATTCTATAAGAGTTCTTCATGTATATGTTACATAAAAATATATTTCTTACATTTTTGTAAACTTACTATTTTAGGTTAGTAAATCTCAATCAAAAGATTTCTTAATACATTAATTTAATTCTGATTTCAAATTTAGAGTTGTAAATTTTTTTATCATTATTATAAATTTTGGAAAAAAACCAAATACTTTTTATTACCAATTGAGAAATAAAAATGTAAGTTTATTTGAGCTATTGCCCTTTTAGAATTTAATTTTTATGAAATAATGTTATGATAAATGAATCATTAATTGATCTAACAAAAAAAAAAAAATAAATAAATAAATAAATAAATAAGTAAATAAATTATAATCATAACAATTATTTATAATTGGTAAGAAATATCAACAAATATAACTCTTAGAATAAAACAATAGGTTAAATATGATTTATTAAAACTATAATATCAAGAAGTACAATTATTAAATAAATAATGACTATAGTCCTTAACTTGAACATTTTATTTATAATTTTATAAACCATAAAAAAATAAAAATATTAATTATCCTACAAATATATTTATTTTTTAATCCAAATGTCAAAAATTCATTTTTCAATAACTGAATCAAAATATTAACCTATATTTACATGTATTACAAAAATATACTAGGGGGGACTTTGTGGAAGGACAGAATAAAATAGTAATTAACAGAGTTGATGCGAAGTTACTGGTTTGAACTCTATCACTAACAGGTTTGCTTTCTAAATGGGATCACAGCCCAGGGAGAAGAATCTGCCAATAGCTCTATTGTCTGAATTTCTGCAGATAAATACTTTTTTTTATATTTTATGTAAAAATAAATTGGCCAATGAAAGAATAAATCCATAAAATTATAACAATAATTATATATTTTAGCATTTATTGAATAACAGTTTAAATATTTATTTTAAGATTTAATTGCTTGTTAACAGACTCTCTGAGAAATTTAATAACTTGGGGTGGATTTTCAGCTTGAATAACAGCAGTGCCTGATACAATCATATTTGCTCCTGCCTTTAAAAATAGAAAACACATATATAGATTAAATATTACAAGATAAAAATAGCAAACATTAAATATTAAAGAGTAATTTCATAAAAAACTAAGCACTATTTTACACTCTCAAATAATTCAATGATAAAATTGAATATAAATTAAAAAAACAGAAATCAAACTTCAATAAAAAAAACTGATCAATATTATTATTATTATTATTATTACTTATATTTTATTCTTACACTATTTCTTACTTCCTGAACAGGTATGTGTGGAATCCTACGAGTTCATAATTTACGATATTATAATAATAAGGTATGTATTGATATTAATACAATTTACATTTTAATGAATTTACAGTCTTAGTTTTATAAAATAAAACTAATTAAAACATACAATTTTGATAATAATGATACACTTAAGGAACCAGAACTATGGAAAAGAAGGGGCAAGGTGTGCTTACATCCTGGGTGCAAAATTGAAAAATGCTTTTTTTTTGCATTTTTTAGTAAAAATGACAATGGTCAATGTTTAATGCTTTATTTACAAAAACTTTGATTTCCTTTATATTAATTGAAGCAATTGTTGAAAATGATATCTAATAATTATATTTTTAAATTAAAAATACATTATGTATCAATTAGATTAAAAGTAGGTAAAATAGTATTTAAAGTTTATTCAAAGTGATTTGATTGATTTTGTATCTACCTGATGGTGAATTTATAAAGAGAAACAAGTTTTACTTTAGAAATATAATAATACTCCAAACTAAGCATTTATTTATTTATAAATATAAGCTATTTATTTAAATATTATATTGAGAGTTTCATATTTTGTTCATGCTGTAGCCATTAGATTTATTTTTCAAACTACTGAAGAATTACTTTGGTTTGAATAACCACTAGAGAAATTTAGCGTTGGACAAAGAAGGTTGGAAACTTGGTTATGAGATAGGATGGTTTAAAAGTCCAATAAACCCATGAAAGAAAGAAAGAAGATTTAGTTTGATTTCTAATGGAAGAATATTATATATTTTTGATCCTATATATATGTAAGTAGATTGAGTTAGTTTTCTGTGCATTAAAGGTACAGTAATATTTTATTATTCTTTTATGTTAGAGCCATGTTCAATACTATGTGTTAGGTTATAATTAAATAAATTATCAATGATTTAAAGAAAAAATTTAGATATTTTTTCAATAATAGTTAAGCAACAAAAATATTGACTTTTAAATAATTGCAATATTTGTACATAAAATTTATATCTAAGTGTAAACACTTATAGTTATTTTATGGTTTTATTATTTCATAACTAGGAGGAAAGGAACAACTAAACTGTATAATCTATATTTATATTATTGTTATTGCCTTTATAATAAGACATCATCTTGATTATTTACAATTTTAAATTTTGATAATATTGATATATTTGATTATTAAAACTTAATTAAATTTTAGTATAATAAAAAATAATTAAATTTCTATAGTGAACTCAACACTTTTTGATTATTAGATATTTAAAAATTGTTGATAAATGTAATAAAAAATAATAGTTATTCTTACTTTAGCACAAATATCAATAGTACTAGGACCAACACCTCCATCGACTTCAATATCCAATGTAGGATAATTTTCTCTTAGCCATTCTACTTTTGGCATCATATTAACCATAAATTTTTGACCACCAAAGCCAGGTTCAACTGTCATCACTAGGACCATGTCAGCCATATCTATGTATTTTTCAATACAAGTGATAGGAGTGCCAGGTTTTATTGCTAATCCTACTTTCATGCCTGCTTCTCTAATTTTACGGCACACTAAAGGAACATCTTCACATGGTTCAATATGAAATGTATATTGATCTACATTTGCATCAGCCATAGGTGAAACCCACTAAAAAATGTACATTTATAAAATTTTATATTATTTATATTATATCATATATGTTTTAATTTATACTTGGATTGGATTTTGAACCATCATATGTGTTTCCAACATAGTATTGGGTAATTTTGTTCTTAAACATTTAACAACAGGATGTCCAAAAGTTAAATTAGGAACAAAAGTTCCATCCATAACATCTAAATGTAAGTAATCTGCTCCACTGTCCAACAATCTTTGAGATTCATCATATAATTGAGACAAATCAGCATTTAAAATAGATGGACCAATTTTACACGATACTATTTTTTCCATTTTCTAAAATAACACTAATTTTATTTAAAATATTTTTAGCATAAATAATAAAAAAAATATTTATTTTTAAATTTAGAAGTTTTTAATTAAATAATAAAAAATGAACGTTTATTCTTTCAAGATTCAATTAATAATTAATTTAATGCTTAAATACTAAATCTTATTTCAAATAACATATACTATTGTATTAGAAATTATTATAAAACATGAAATGTACATAATCACAATCAGTTAATTATATTTAGTATAACAACAGAAATTAATTATTATTCTATATAATTTTAACATACATAAAACAGATCTGTATGAACTCTATCAAAACTTAGCCTTGAACAAAAATTGAAAACTTACTCAAAAGAGAATGGAAAGTGGTAACACTAATAATTAATTATTGCCTTCGTATGTTTCATCTATTAAACGTTTTGAAAATATTGACCTTCAAAACTGGCAGAAGGAAAAATTCATAAGCAATTCGCTACTGTACGTTAGTAAAATTAATGAAGCAGAAGAGAACAGCATATAAGTTTTTTAATAAGTACTAATTATTTACCACTACGGCATTAACTGTTATACATTTTAAGGCTGGGGTCAATTCTATGATTATAGATAGAAATTATTTCCTATCAATATTCGTGGTCAGTTCTCCCACATTGATAAGTGATAACGAAACGGTCGTTTTATGGATATTATATTTATCATTATTAGTTCAAGAACAAACAGGTGAAAGGGAATAAAATCACAGTTGCCGTTAAACACGTGTAAATTGTGAATGTTATCGATATCAAATCAGCTGGTAGCGGATCATGTGTGTTCGTTGTTCATGTGTTATCATGGTGGTAATGTTGCGTGATTCGATGACCTTTTGATCCTATTAATCCCCTCTCACCTAGAACCAATGGTTTGGTAAAGAAATGTGTACTGGTTATCTAACTACTGGCAGTGTTAAGCCATTAGGTAAAATGTACCAGTCCACTGGTCATGGAAGAAACGCCACATGTAAAGTGATGTCATATCTACTCCGTCGCGTACATTCTACTCAACGACTTCCCAAAGCTAAGGTCCAGGTAACGCGCACTTTTGTGACGTCACCGGTGACTTATTGTGTGGATGAAAGAGGGAGAGAAAGAGCCAATTGTACAAGGGCACCTCTTGCCTGTAGGCCTTGTGCACGGCTGTAAGAAATCCATCCCATCCATCGTGTGTTGTTTGTTCATTGTTTTCTTCTCGCTGCTCGTTTTTATTTCGATCCTCATTTAATCGTCGTCATTTGGGCTCTGAAGACCTTCGCCGGTTCTGAAGCAACACACTCGGACACCACCAAGTTTCCGGCTAAATTTTGGTTTGCAATTATTCGCTGTGGAGGTTTTAAAGGTGCCGCGTGATCATGGAGATGATATCAAGTAGTAAAAACGGTAGTAATAAGAGTAATTTGTTGTCCATAATGCGTAACTGGCAAATGGCGTGCGACGGTAACATCAACTCTTTGTCGGACGCCGAGCCCTCGCAGTACTCTATCTCTCTTTGCCCTGGGCCTCAGTGGTGGTCCTGATGTCCCCCATGCCGCAATTGTAGCCAAGCGCAACAGAGAGGGCAGCAGCGGCATGGGCAAGCTTATTCAATCGGAGCTCTCTGTACTGGAGTCTAAACCAGTGCATGAATATGAATTGTTGGAGGATGTCAAGAAACAATACGCAGTTCGGATCACGTTCAAAATGCAGATTACAGCTGACATCGACATTCAATGGGATACTATACTGTCTGGCCGTAAACTTTACATACAGGTTTGTAAGAAGATTATATACATATCATTCATTATCCAGGCACTCTAAATGATTAGCTGGTAGATATGTCTAATTGATAAACATAACATTTCTTGATTTCCGTATAGAAATAAATTCTTAAACATTAATTTTATATTTATATTTTGTCCCAAGGTCATGATAGCTAATTTTATCTGTTTTGCTATAATAGAACAACATGTTTACAAAATTCACTGCATATATTATCAATATATGTTATAAGAATGTCAAGTAAATATATAAGTAAATATATATGCCCTGTATGTACAAGTTATTAATATTTTGATGATGTTAATACTTGATTAAACTCTTATTGAGTAATTTATTGAATATTTCTATGTATTGTATATTTTTGAAGTATATAACTTGTTAATTTATTATCTTATTTTTTTATGATCAATAGGATTATGAATTAAACTAATATAATTATCTTGAGATATAATTTAGTATGTTATTAGATATCTAATAATAATATTTAAATTTTAAAATTCTCATTAAATTGTTCTTAAATTTGTTTCAATTTAATTTTGGTATTTTTATTGATGATTATTTCATTTAAAAATATATACTCTAATAACTCTAAAATATATTTGACTAGTTGATTAAAGCTTAGGTAATGTTATATTTTTCCTTTTTTTAAAATCAGAAAGAAATAAGTGGTAATAATAAATCAAGTCATTTATTTATTATATTTATTGTTTTTACTCAATTTATCAATGATTTTAAGAATGTTCATTATATTATCTTTTGATAATTATGTGCACACGATTCAAATTATTTGTCATTCTTAATATATTAATAATATGAATTTAATTGATTTTTTTTTCTCATTGATAAAATTTATTATATATTATATAATCAGTTAAATTAGACATAATTATCATTGTTTTTGTTTTATCTTGTTGTTGGATCAGGATTTCTTCTTTTATGATTATAATAGTTAAATTTTTTTTTTAATTAATTTATGGATGATTAATTAATAATATTTTATGATTAGCATGATAAGTTAATTTAATTTGAATTTAGTATCTATAGGCACATTTTCTAACATTCAAGCAATCAGTTTTTTTTTTTATATATACTTTTAATAATTTTAAATGTTCTAACTCTAGTCAAAATATATTATTTAAATATATAATCAGAAAAAATAATATTATTAATAGTTGTAGGGCTTTGAAAATATATGCATCTAAAATATAATTTACTGTATAATTGTATTTAAATGTAATTTTTAAAATTTGATGAGGCAAAACTTTTAAGTATCAAAATGTTCTTATTTATGTTTTTCCATCCTTAAGTATATTATTTTTAATTTGTTATAAACATTTAAAATCAATTTTGTATCATTATTTCTTTGAAGAATTAATACTCGGGACCATGTACTCTTTAATGACAATTTATTGGTTTCCATTAGGACAATGAGTATACATAATCTTATAAAAAATAAGACACAAATAATAACAATAAATATAGAATATTAAAATTAAATAGTACATGACAGTTATTTATCCAAAATCAATTCATAAATAACGAAGCTTATATTTATAATCATAAGCCACACTATTGCATTCCCTTAACATATTACACAAAGGCTTGTTAAAACTATAAAATTACATAAAAAGTAATTGTGAAATGAGTGTTTAAAATGGGAATGTGCCACTTGCTATATTAAATATTTCAAGACGGTTAATTTTGTTTAATAATTTATAAATAAATTATATGTCATTGAATTTACATCTGAATGTAAGAGAATCTAAACCAAAATTGAGTCCTAAATTAGCAACCGACATGGTTAATTACTTAACCTTATATGATATGTACCTTAAAAAATAGAATTGATCATTATTCAATCATTGAATCAGGCTAGGTAGGTTAGTAAGGAGTCCATATTGTGGATCTATATTCAATAACTGAATGAACTAGTGAGCAATACAGGAATTTCAAGCAAATTATATTGTATACAGGATTATATCGAGATCTTGATTAGAAGAAATCGAATTAATCATATGGCTGTTTATATAGTTTTTAAAAATTAAGCAATTTTTATATCTAGCGAACGATATAGAATCTCATTTATCGATATTTTTTTTTAATATGTTTATGGTACATTAGTTTGAAAAATGTCCAAAAAAGTCCAATTTTAATCTTTCACAATCTTGTACAGAATTATTCTGAATATATATACAATTTCAAGTCATCAGCAAACAAAGAGACTTTACAGAAATTGAATATGTTTTACACCGCTCATAAATAATATTAATAATATGAAAGATAAATGAACTTTATTTTTTAAATTAATATGTACATTTTTAAATAGTCTGTGTTACCAAAAAAAAAAATCCTTCAATTTTAAGATATTTGATTTTGTAATTTATTCCAGAAAAATTTTTAGCATTAACTTTTTTACAACCATGGCATGCAAGTTAAGATGATAATATATATAGTAGATACAATTATTTTTTTAATTAAACTTTTAAATTATATATATATTCTTGAAAATTATTTATTTTTTTATTTGTTTTCTTTTATTACCTATTCTATAATATCTTTAATATTTATACCATATACTCTATATAGCTTTATATATATATATATATAATTAATTATATTATGTATATTTTCTTGGTATGATGTTTAACAACTATTATAATGTTAGATTATAATTATTCATTAAAATTATTGGTAAAAATATAAATCAAGTAACAAATTTAGGTTTACATTATAATATACTCAGAAATCTTAGTATAATATCTATGACTATACTTCTATATTTATATATTTTTAGGTGGCAGATGCGCAAAGACCAGTCGGGTCTAAAGAAGGTTTTTTGGCTATGTTGGAATATGCAGAAGAATATTTGAATGTATCTCATATAATTGTCTGTTTTGCTAAGAATCATCCTGAGCGCAACATCTTGGTCAGAGGCTTTATGTTTTTGGGATTCTCCTTGCAACCACCTGGGCTCAATAAGATTGTACCACATGCTGCTATTGATAACTGTAACCATTATATGGTATATGATGTTGAATCATAAATTAATGAAGTTTCTTTTGTCCTTAAAATAAAATTACATTAAAGAAAAATAATTACAAAATTACAAGTACTTAAATTGTAGGAACATAGTTTGATTCAATTGTCAATGCTGCCACATGCCCTCTTTGTTGCTCTTAACATTATTATTATTAAATGTGTAAATTTGATGCTTATTTAATCTTACAATATTTATGTAGTTTATTTACTTTATATTTTTAATCATTTTTAAATCTATATTTTGCTTTTGTTTGTTATCATACTTACATAGTTAATAATTTGAACATATTTTTTTTAACAATTGTGTAAATTGAATAACAATTTTTTTTTCTAATTTTTCTCAATTTTTATTTTTAGATTAAGTCAATAATTTATATTAATTAAAAAACACAATAATTATAAATTTAAATGGGTATCAATTTGTGTTCATTTATTTGCCTTGTTGAACATTTTTTTAGGATTTTAATTACTTATTAAGAAATCCAAAGGTACTTTGTTCTAAGATTCTAAGTGTATTATATTATTATATATTTATGCAAAACAGATAAGCTAAGCGTACATGAAAAATATGTGTACATTTTAATAAAAAAAATTAAGTATCATAGTTAGGTAATGCATATGGTTTTTTCTGGGGAATGGGTAGTTTGTGTTTATACTTTGTATTAAATTTTTCTAGGCATTTTAGAGAACAAAGAAATAGTTATGGTAACATTTTTCAAAGTATATTTTTAAGTAGTTGATAATGAATAACTTTACTTATTCTATATCCTTTTTAAGCCTATTTTGTCAAATGTGCTCTACTGGCAGCATTGCGACTGCAGTGTTCATTCTACCATGTTTTCCCACTAGTAGTAGTAGTTTTACCAACCATATTTAAATTTTGGACATATTCTTGTATATGGAATGGTGTAAAAGTGGTATTAATGACGAACAAATTTTTTTATAAATATGTAATATTTTATAGGAATTACAAATTTTTATTTAAGTACTATCTTTGTCGTCGCCTCGTTTCATTAATAATAATAAATATAAAAAATATTAAAATACATTTACCATGTCCCTCAGAAATACGTTATATGTGTCACTTTTATTCATACCTAAAGTGAACTCAAGTATTGTCATCCAACGACTAAAATATATATTCAATCAACAAATATAATATCATATAAAACAGGGATGGGCTACTCAAAGTTACTAGAGGGCCAATTTTAAGAAAATTAAAATCTATCGGGTCCAGAGTATGGGAAGCAAGAAAAAAGTCATTCAAAATATATACTTTAATTAGCATTTATATACACGAAAATAATAAATTCAGCACTACATGAATGATACGAAGAAACTAAATAGTTCGGTACAAACAGCTATGGTTGAAAGCTATACGTATACACATGACATTTAAACGTTTAACGATGTTTAATACCAGATAACATTTATTATATGGAGATACGATTAACTTTAAATTATATGATGTAATTTGAAAATATAGCACGGGTCAGACAAAAAAGGCTCGCGAGCCACTAGTTGCCCACCCCTGATATATAACAAAGCAATAACAAATATAATGTAAGAAAAATATAGTGCTAATCTTTACTACCATTAAGTTAATTTTTAATGGAGAAATATATTTTGGGTCTTAAACACAAAGTCGGATGTTTCACTTTTGAGACAGGGTTTATCATCTTAAGAGAAGGAATCGCCACTGTGTCTGTCACAATTTGTTAGATTTAGTACTAAAAATAACCAATTTACTGATATCTCTTTACATTAAAAAAAAATTAATTAATTTTATATACTTATAAAATACTTATTTTTATATGATTAATAATAATGCAATAAATTATATCACATTCAAATTAATTGGCAAGTTTTTTAATTATTTACATAATTTTAAAACGTAAGTTTACTGTAAAAATTTAACTATTTTAAAAATAATAAGGAATTAAATTTAAAACTAAATTTTTTAAGAGACTAATCTTATAATTTTGTTGTGGTAGCTATGTCAATAGGTATTTGAATATTTCATAGTTCTTAACTAAATATTTAATTTTTATTTTAAAGATTTATTTAAAAATGAATAATTAGCAGAAAAATTATTTCCGAACATTAATAAATAAAAATATGTAATATTTTAAATATAATTTAAAAATAAAACATAAATAACAAAAACATTTAATTTACGATCCTGTATTTATATGAATATTTAGATACAGTTCCAGCTAGTCTAACGAAATTTCAATACACAAAATTATAATTGTGATTTTTGAATTCATGACATCTAGTTAATATTATATACAAACACTTTTTAAAATACTTAATTTAATTAACGCCTTGAAGCTTTTTATTATAAAGATTGATGATCATTATCAATAACTTTCAAAAGTGTATATAAATACTAATGAATTATAAAACTTTAAAATAGTTTTTGTCAGAAAATATTTAACACGGAGAATATTTTTATATTATCTTAGAAGCAATATTCTTTTTACATTTGGTAATAGTGCTGTATGAAGCTCAAAGCTAGAGCTATAATAAACACACGCATCATTATTTTTCAAATTGAAATATTTCTATACTTCCCCTAAGATATTCATAGATTGTACAGTTTATAGTACCTACAATATCATATTTAAATCAGTGTTAAAAAAAAAGAACTTATACATTTTTAATTCAATTAGAGATATCGAATTTATTTCCTACAATTTCTAATTTAAGTCTGGAATTGTAGGATATATTATTTTTATTTTCAAATAATATAAATAATAATTCTTTATAAATATAAAATGTAATAGTAAGTACAATTGATAATAATCATTATTCTCCACATTCTCGACTATATAGTTTAATAGAATTATGTAGATTACAGTTTGTATTAAAATAATAAATTTTAAGTTGTTGTCGCCTTTTAAAAATACCTGCCTATTTACGATTATTAACTTGATATTTCATCATATCGTATTAATACTAATAATGATATATATTATGTTGGTCTTGATAAAAAAAAAAATATTTAATCAGGACAGTGATTCTCAACCTTCCTATGTTCACGGCTTACTTCTTATAACAATACATTTTGACGGAACAATACAGTATAATATTGTATATAAAAAGTTATAATATATTAATTTCCAATAAATAATGTGTGTTGTGTAATGTGATGTTTGGCTTTTTATTGTTATTTGATTCTTTGTAATTTGATTGATATTAAGATAAAGAATAGCTTATCTTTTTTTCTCTCATTTCTCTAAAAATAAACCATATCAATTTATTTAAGTTTTATCACTAATATCTGTAGGCTCGTCAATTTGTATTTATGAGACTCATTTACATTTTTTCTTTATTCATTGGCATATCAATAATTTTTTTTTTTCAAATAGTATCAATAGATAACGGAATTTTTGAAATGTTAACATTATTTTAAGAATTTTTCTACAAAAAGGTAAAAATTAATGATTAATGATTAATGAATTAAATTAATGATTCAGGTAACGAGTGTAATTTTCTTTACCTTGCATGGGAGTATTTTAGGGGGGGGGGCAAAGGGGCAATTATACAAGCGTAACTTTCAAAATACAGACATGTGTTAAAAAAGAACTACACAAAAGTCAATTTTAAGTGGAACAGGAATTAGATTAAATAAAAAAATAACAACAAATATTAAGAATTCACCTGATTTAAATATTACCAAAAATTTTATTTGTTAATTTTGAGCCTAAAATGTTGAGCTAAAGAAAAATTGAGTCGCCCCCCCTCCCTATTAGTAAGTCTAAATACGCCACTGCTTTCATGAGCAATTAATTTTGCAAAATTATAAAAAACAACTCGTTATTTAACATTTATCTAAAAACATCTTACTGTTTTAGTGTTTTAGTCATTAGTTGTTTAAATTATTCAGATAATTTGATGCAAGATAACTATGATTTGTAAATCGATTTCAATTTAAGTTACTTGGGACCAAGGCCATATCTGGGAGGGGGTCCAGGGTTTCTGGATCCCCCTCCATCAAAATTTCTTCAATATTTTACGAATGTTTAAAATACTTATTTATTTTTAATACCAACATAAATATTTTCAGTCAAAAATGACTTAAGCTCCAATTAATCAATGACTGTTTTTAATTTTATATCATAATATCATATGAAAAAATGATATTAATTTTAATAAAAGAAGATTAAATCTTTTTCTGCCTTATTTTTTACCAAATATCAAAAATTAAAATTAAAATTCAATAAAATTACAATATACATGTTTTTTGACCCCTCCCGAAAAAAATTTCTAGATACGGCCTTCCTTGAGGCTATTGAACTATTTGAAAGTTTCTTCCATAAACTACATATACTGGAAGAGATGGTTTTTAATTTTCTGTCAAAAAAATAAAAGGAACTTAATTAATAATCAATATAGATATGTATGTATTTTAATATATTAATTATTGTTTGATTTCTCAATACTATTATCTTCAATGATATATTTTTTAATAATTTTATCTATTTTATTGAAAAAACTTTACTTTAAATGTATAGGCATTTCCTAATTTAGTTGCAATGGTTTCTATTTTTTTTTTTATGTTGTATTAATAATAACTGTTAAGATTAATTGTAACACAAAGTCTAAATAAAAATAATAAAAAAATGTATAGGTAACTATGTCTATTTTTTAGCATTGACGTCTGCCGACTAATGGTTGTTCATAATATACCTTGGCCGTTAAACGATAAAAGTTATAATCATAATTAATAACGAACATAAATATTGGGAAAATTCTATTTTTAATAGTAATGCAAATACGCATGTTTCAAAGTCGTCACAGCACCGCCAGTTTGTGGCACCTGTTATACTTGTGTTCCGCGGAACACCGGTTGAGAACCACCCACCTAGGTACTTAATTGACTTAAGCCTCTTATGAAATAAATCTTCAAACTAGTTCTTATAATAGTTTTTACCTCTATAAACTTGATAATTTTATGTATGTTTTTTTTTTTTCGTAGGTATCAATCAATTTTTTTTAAACTTTTATCTAATCAGTAACTTCCTTTATTTTCGTAATTATTTTTAAGAGTATTAGCTGCATTTGGTAACTTAATATCATGTACGTACAATCTTTAGTATGTTGCATTTACTAGTAATTATATATGTTATGTATTATAAACGAATCAGCATTAAATTAAATTTATAAAAAGTTGTAATATGTAATACTATGGACTGTGGTTATCTAACCTATGTTTACCACTGATAATAATTTTAAATTTATAAAATAAATTACTTAATTATTTAATCTAATTTATTATGGTTATAGTAAATCTTTAAAAATAAACTTCAAACACACTAATGATCTATGGCATTAATATTAAAATTGCATTAATATTATCTTGATTATATGAACTATAATCACAGAATAAACGCTATAATCATGGTTTAAAATATATATATTTTAAACTGTGGCTATAATAACCTGTTTTAATGTGTACTTTATAAAAATCTCAGGAACAGAACTTTGAGTTTTCTGTGGATTAGCCAAAATTCTTTCATTCATTTGAACTATGGTTTCATAAGTTCTTCCAATTTTTTTTATTCTTATACCTAAATCTCATTATTTTATGTTATGGATTTTATTAACCATCAGCAATAGACTGCAGAATTCTTTTATAACATATTTTATTAAATGTAAAGTCATAAATTAAAATTTACTAATTAAATTTTGTTTAATTTCGTAATTTTTTTAAAACGTTTTAATATAAAGTAGTTAATAATATAAATCATTTACATTATTTTCTTTTAGCTCTTATTAATTAATTATATTAATCTATAGACTTAAATATAAATTACTTGCCGTTCCCTGGTCTATTTAATTACTATAGGAGTTTATTAGTTTTTATAAATAAATATGTACATATATTAATTAATTTACGAGTATCAACTGTTCACTAATTTTTTTTTTACTTTATTACATACATTATGTATATTAACCAATAAAATTATTTATTATTTACTTTTAACCTATTGGTAGGCATTACATTTTCTACAAAGTATTTGCAAATTTTTATTTTAAGTGGTTTATGTTAAGATTTTATAGGTCAATAAAATTACAAAAAGTAAATAAAAAAAAATTCTTTAAATTATACCACTAAATTATTTTAAAGACCTACAGTATAAAACATATTAATTTGGTTTTTATCTTGTCATATGATCATAGACATAAAATGTCAATGATCAATAATAAGTATTATAATAGGTCGCAATGACCTAATAATTCTAATAATCTTAATTATTAATTGAATACAAAAAAATGTAAGAAATATCTAAATTATTAATAACAATATCCAACCAACCAGTTAGAAGCATTTGAATGTACTATTAATCTAAAACATAGTGTAAAATTAATATTTTGATTCAAAACTAGATAAATAATTATTTTGATATGTGATAACTGAATTTCACTAAAAGGTTAATTTTTTTAATTTTTTAAAATAAAAAACTTCGTTAAAGGTCTGATAAAATATTTTTATAAATTGAGAAACTATAGAGGGACGCCAGAACAGACCTGGAGAAAAGGTGTCCATGACAGGCAATAAGTACACCGCGATACGCGCGTCAATAGAAAAGTTGAGAATATGGGAATATATAACCGATAGCGTTATCGGGTAAACTGTGGCTAATTGTGATGGTCCATTTGAACCGACACTATTAAGTAAAACCGATTAAGCCAAGACGAGTGCTCGACTTGAGGGGGGATGCAAAGGGACGGAGTATCCTAAATAATTTTCAGAAATTTTAGCGTCCCCCTACTATTATTATGTTATAATTATAACGCTTTAATAACGCTTTATAATTTTTCCAAGCACGACCTTAAAACATATTCCTTCTGTTTCAATTTATACAAATCATTTAAACGTTTTTTTATGTATCTCGAACACTAAGAAAAATATAAAGTTTATAATATTTTAAATATTAGTCTTTATATACTTGATTATCAGTTTAAATTTTAAATTTTTATACCGGATTCAAAAAGACACGTCACAGAAATAAAAACATAATACACACATAACATTTGTCCATACTAAGTTGGGTCAGTGGCGCACGCAAGGGGGAGGGTTAAGGGGTTGTAAACCCCCCCCCCCGAAATTTTCTCCGATGTCTAGGTTAAAATTTACAAATTTTACAAGTTTGAAATATGAAGAGCTAGTATTGAATACCTATTATCATTGATAATAGAATAGTCTATTCTATTATCAATGCTATTTTTAAGTCAAAATATATTAAGGATTTGCATAATTTTGTTAGTTGTAAAATGTGTTATATTTTTACCTTGACCCCTTTCACTTTTAATTTTACTTTATTTTTTCATATTCAGTCACGATTTTATTGACTTTGTACATACCTAATGATGAAATTTTAATGAGAAACCAGTTGTATTTTACAAATATAATTATAATACTCCAGGTTAGTAATTAATTTGTAAATTACTTTATTTTAAACATTGGAAATTCTCATATTTTTTTTCCTCTACAAATTAATTCATTAAAATTTAATTAAATGTTAAATATTTAATGATTAGTACAATCATTATACTTCAATCTTGTAGTAGTAAGGGGGGTATGATCTCGTACAGTAGTATGGAAGGGGCATGGAATTCATAAGATTGAGAACCCATGATGAAAAAGATTGTATTAAAGTTGTAATTTTATTATTAAATAAATATTTATAAAAAATAAACAAAGTTTAAAATAGAATAATTTGAAAAGTAATTTTTTTAAAAAATTATATTCACATTATTTATTTAAGTTCTAAAAGATGAAAGAATATTAAATTATTCATAAAAGTATTTCTATAGGACTTCAATACTAAATATTAATGATTTTGATGAATTTATTATTTTTAAAGTAAATAACAATTGAATATAAATGGAAATATGTTACTAAAGTAACATTATTATAATATGTACATTCATACAAATTCTAAAATTTCATACATAAGATATTAAAAAATTAAAAATAAGATAATATTACTCTTCTTCTATATCAATTTGAGCATTTGCTCTGGCACCTTCATTTACAGCAGATGCTAAATCTAAATTTTGTTCTCCTTTTAGCCTTTCTCGTATTAATTCAGCAATTGCTCTTTGTGTTCGCCTCTCTAGTTTTGCCATCCTTTTTTCAATGTCTCTTTTCAAATCCCAATCTGGTTTTCTGGGTGCCAGTGTATTTAAATCCTAAAATAATACATAATGTTTACTTCAGTAGAATAAATGTACATTTTAAATATATTATTGAAATGTACTCAAATACAATTAGAATTGAGTATAAAATTAAGACAAAGACTTTTATTGTTAAATATTTATAAAAACATCAACAAACTTGAAAGAAGTTAAATTGTATGTCATTATAGCAAACACAAGAAGTAATATTTACAATTCATAAAACTAATGAGTTCATGTATCTAAACCAGTAACTGGAATACTATTAAATATGAAGTCCAAAAAGAATAAAGTATTTAAAAAAAATATATTTTATGATTCATACATAATAATAATAATTTTTTAAATTAAATTAATATTTTTTATAATAATTGAAAAAATATCAAACTAAGGTATCCTATACTTTATAGGGTAAGTACTATGATGATTCTAGATAATTTTGTAAAGACTGTAATAATTATCTTATCTAATTCTTAGATAATTAAAAACTCAAAATAATTAAAGACTAATTAGAACTTATTTGATTATTATATTAAAAAAAAAAACCATTAGTAATAATACAGATTAAATTAATTAGTAGATTAATTTAATCCGTGGTAATTAAACAAGGTAGTTGTTATAAAAACTTCTAGATTAATTAATTTAAGATATTAAAATAATGTAATCAAGGTTTAATGGAAATAACTATGATTTTATAACTGCAGCATGAATAATATAAAAATATGAAAGAATAAATGCAAATCCATTGATTAAATATGAATAATAAAATGCGGGAAGTAAAAAGAACATCGAAAAATTGAACAAATTGTATACTCTTAGCCAAAGAGATGAAGTTGTTTTTCAAATCAACTGAGAATTGGTCACACACATTTCTTACATACTTCCAAGAAAGAACCTCCATGAATATGTACTAAATGTAAGGCTCTAACCTCAATTAAACACATATTCACTGAATGTAGAAATTCGCAAACAAAAAACTTATCTGAAAGCCTTTACTTTTTATTATAGACTAAAACTATCATCAAATATACACTATATAACATAAAATATATTGATTTATACAAATTAATTTAAGTTCATTTTGATGTACATATTTTTATGAAAAAAAAAAAATTACACAATATTATACTTGAACTTTTATATATATATATATATATATATATATATATATATATATAAGAATAAAAATAACTCCTATGTTGGCTTAGGTGAGATATAGACAAACAAGTGAATGATATTACTGTGATACTAATGATACTACTGTGTTAGTTTTTCATAAAAAACTTGAAACCAATGTATTTTAATATCTTTAGATTTTGAATGAAAGAGGTCAGATGGATCAATTCAAATATATGAAGGTGGTTACAGGGGAGTATACAAGGGGGAGATGTGGGGGTCAGATCCCCCATAGGCTCTTTTAAAATAGTATAAATAATGTTCTTAATGTAAGGAAATTATAAGGAAACAAAATAATATTGTAAGGATTTATTGTAAATTATTATTTTGACACATTCTATATATATATATATCTTTTACTATTTATTATTTAAATGTGCAGGTACTTAGGTTTAGGAATTTTCCTTCCATAAAAATTTGTTTAAAACTGATCCCCCACCCATACGAAAGTTATGTTTATACCACTGGGTGGTTATAATAATAGTCAAACCAAATTCTTTAATACAGTAGGTTGAATATTTGAAAAAAAAAAAAAAGCAACTAAGTAGATAAGTAAATTACATTAAAATGTTTAACATGTATATATAGTATATCCAGCTAAATTTATTATTAGCAAAATTCAAAATTGTCAAGAACAAACAGTGATACAAGTGTTAAGTGAAAATTTCAAATTGGTACGATTATTATTAGAGTTATAGAGTGCACACCATAGATTAAATATATGTATATTTAATCTATGGTACAATACACTTGTATAAATAAGAAATCTATGAAGAAATATGTAATGAAATAAACAACCCTCTTAAGTTAAATAACAGATTATCAACTGAAGCTAATGGCTATGCAAAGCTATGAATGTTCAGCTATTAAAGAAGCTCTAATGTAAGTATTAAATAATAGTGATAGTAAAATTACTATTATAACTGACCTACTGTTAATAATTGTCATAACTAATTTTTTTTTTACAATGGTACAAAGATACAAATAACTGAAATATTTTATACACATTTATTTTATGTTTTTAATGTTTATTTACTTCAAATATTTTCTATAAATTTACCAATTCTTGAACTGTAAAAACTGTTTCTCCAGCTTTTAATTGATCTTCAACTTCCGCAACAATATCACCAGGTTGAGGAGTAGGTATAAGTTCTGCTTTGAGTCCTTCATCTTCTGGGATATAACTTTTAAACTTAGGTCTAAAATAAATAATTATTTAAGAGCAACCAAACAGATTTAATTTGTAAACAATGTAGGAACATACTTTGGTAATGGTTTTTCTATGGTATCATTGGTGAAATTCGCATCATTTTTTATTTCTAACGACTTTTTTAAACTTGCCAATCGTTCCTTGCGTTTTTTAGCTTCCTCTTCCAAAGATCCTACTTTGATAAACTGATTTTCTGAATTATCCATAGCTATAACTTAGTACAGAGATATAGATTATTTACGTATATTATTTAATATTTATAAGAAAAATTTTAAAAAATATGTAAAATAGTAATAATTTTGTAAATTATAATAGTTATGTTTTGAATGCTAATTATACGTGGTTTTATAATTAATTTGATAGTGTTATCAAGTCACGTTATAAGAACAGTATGACCACGGATATGGTTTGTACTCGTCAAAAGTTGGATAAAATCAACTTCACGGTATCTTATGGTTAGTGAGGTAACTTGTGATTTATTATACGGTATACCTTAATGTAACAATATGGTTCAACTAATCAAAAATAATTATTTTAGAAAATACGACACGGCACGGTGCAGTGTGAACGCAGCTTTTATCCAATTTTTAAACGTGTGGTTACTGATTTTAGTAGTAATAACTTAATATTCTATGATATCATTGTTCATAATCAGTGCCGGTCCTGGGGGGGAAGTAAGCGGTGCGACCGCACCGGGCCCCGTGCTTGTATGGTGCTCCACAGGGGTATATTTATGGGGGGGTGGCTGAGGGGGCTTCAACCCTTCTCCCCAAAATCAAGGAATTGATTATTAAGTCTGCTTATTATGTCCTATCAGATGTAAATCGTAAGAGTTCAATATAATTTTATAAAGAATTATTAGTAACAACGAACAAGTTATTCATGTAAAGGGTCTGACGATTTTGATCGTAACGATTATACCATTGAGATCGGTACATTGTGCTTAATTTTGACGTACGTTACTGCTGCATTATCGTAATTTCGATTTCTTTTACCTAGAATTGATTTACTTTACGCAATACGTACTAATTCTTGAACGAGTTGAACGAAAATGAAAAATGGTTCGTGCACGTAAATGCATAATGTGAATGAACATTGATGGTCATAATGCATTACGATGGTTAATTATACGACGACAAACGATAACATTCGTTGAGGTCATACATTAAACTACATGTAGTTAACAAACACTTTCAACAATTATTCGAAGTTACGGATTGTTGGTTAAAATTCGTAAAACGACAAAGTATGAACGAATACAGTGTACGACGGAGTATAGTCCGAGTACCATTTTTTAAATACGAATTTACTACAAAATACTATTACTGTGGTGCAGGCCCGTGCACAGGAATAGCCCAAGGTGGGGAAGGTCAAAATTATATGTGTTATGATAGGTAAAAAAGCAATAAAAAATACACGTTAGAATATCCATGATCCAAAATCAATAAATTTTAACAAACATTTGAACTCAAATAGCTGACTTGTCAACGAAAATGTGTTCTATCGATGGTAGCAGTTACAACGATAAATTATAGTAGGTGGGAAATGCACAAAAATTCAATAGAAAAAAGAGTAAAATCGAGAAAATTGGCACTGTTAAAACAAAAATAGATAACTATGTATGAATTTTCAAGTCAATTTAACTGTTATAGAACGAGGACAGATATATTCTTAGTAAAAATGCATGTTAAAATATCTTCACTGGAACGGGGGTAAAAATCGCATATATAATGCGTACGAATCGTTACGTTTTTTTGGACGACAAGTTTATAATATACATTTTATTACTCCGGGTACTCTTCGAGATTTTAGAAAAATAACACATCAGATTCGTGATTTTGACGAACGAAAACGGCAATCGATCTGGTTGCAGCGATTAACCAACCCCGGGAAATCATACTTGTACCAGTGCCCAATTTAGCGGGTGTGCAGGGAGTGCAATGCACCGGGATCTTAAGTTCTAAGAGGCCTACAAAACCGAAATCTAAAATTGAAGTTGTCAGTTTTGTTTTTTTTTTTTTGCCTTTTTCCTGCCCTTTTTTTATATTTATTAATTGTATTTCATTCAACAACATTTAATAGTGAATTTATAAATAGAAATGTCTAACGGCGGGCCTTTAATTGGTATTTACACCTCGTCGACCTCCTGTCCCGAGACTTAGATCCGATACTGACATTCACGTCGGCTTCGTTGGGTTTTTCGCCTCGGTCTCGCAGGTGCTGTTACACTGTAAAACAACTGTTCCAACCGGTTTCCCGATTTGATAGCACAGCACCATGTAACACGTGTGCAACGCTCAAAGCACGTCAAAGGGTACGGGACATACAGGACGCGGGTCGATTTAAAATCGAAAAGGGTTAAGCCCGGTACACGTGCCGTCCACTCGCGCGTACCCTTGTGAACCTTGCGCGACAGACACGATAAAACCGTGAGACCGTACGCCGTGCGCCTACTGGTTACCAAATCGGTTACGGTAACTTTAAAAAAACAGCAACCGTCGTTGTCTCTTTTGTTGAAGAAATAATTATCCGTTGTATTATCTTAGATAAATAAAAGTGTTATCTAAAGGAATTTATTTAGATAAATTAATTTTTACGGATTCTTTTATTCTTAATTTACATTTTAAGTTACCTATACAATATCGAAGGCGAATATCAATTAAAAATTAATACAAAAACAAAACAGAAAAACCATATATTTACAAGAAAGTACACGAGTACATTCATAACACCTTTCATATAATATTTGAAACCATGGAAATGATTGGTAGAAGTGTCTGTTCGAAACCAATCACAAACTCCGAATACCCATATAAATATCTAGGTTGCATTATTGCAAATGGAACCGCCTGTTGATGGTATACTGGGGTTAGTATCAAAGCTGGCATGACGACGTTGTATGATGATGTTGTAGGTGGTAATTGACTGGTTTCCGGTGGATTAAATGGTTTGAATTCTTTAACTAACGGATTAAATTTGAAATGAATACTTTTTTCATTTTTCATTTCAATTATTTCTGCTTTTCCGTATGGTGGTTCATTTAATGTTGGAGAAAAAATATCCAAACTCGACTGATTAGTAGGATTGTTTTGGATTATTAAGTCACCATTATGACAATCAATAATGGATTGTTCTACATCGTTTTCTTGAATTTTGTCTACGACAATATTTTCATTTTCATTACTTTGTAAGTCATAATTTAAGAATAATAGAGATTCATCTTTGTGTTCTTGAATTTGTATATCAGTAACACCCGTACTGATTTTTTCGAGATCATTTTTGTCATCATCTATTAATACAATAATGTTAAAATTAAAGAAATGAATAGACATATATATATTAGATGTATATATTTTTACATAATCTTATGATTATTTATTTATTGTAATGAAACAAAATTAATTACCACTAATAGGAACCGGTGGTATTTCACTTTTTGGATCACATTTATCAGAGGAAACTATTATCTGAGATCCAACCTCTGGACAAGACATCACGATATCAAGTTGTTCAGTGTTTGTTATACATCTAGAAATACCAACTTTTTCATTCAGATCGTGTACAACTGTTGGCCGTGATTTTGATTTGTTTTGGTTATAAGAATAAATGTTTCGATTAAACACATAATATATTAAAAACATTTTAGTAAAATAAAAAATAAAACAAAAGTTGGAATTCATACCTTGATGAACATTTTTGGTTTCTAAACCAGCAACAAATTTCTGCCATTCGTTCATAGGAGTTTTTGAATATTTGTATCGATTATTTTGAATTTTTTGAGAATAACGATGATTACTAAGATGATTACATTTATTATTGTTATCAATCACGATGGCAGGAGGTATATGATTAACAACTGAATGGCCATTATTATTTTCGCCTTGGTATTGGGGTGGTGTAGATGCGTTTAAAATATCGTAATTTTGAATATATCGTCCATGGTTTCGATGAACATTTTTGGTTTCTAAACTACAAACAAATTTCTGCCATTCGTTCATAGGAGTTTTTGAATATTTGAATCGATTATTTTGAATTTTTTGAGAATAACGATGATTACTATAATACTGTTGAGATTCCGGACTTTGTAATTCATTATTTCGACTGTCGTTTTTTCGTAAATCAGCAGTAAAACTGAATCAATCCATAGTATATGCAATTAATATTGATTAAGTTAAATAAGAATAGTGATGAATAATTATAAATTATCTTTCTACTATACATTTCCTCTTCGTCGCAATTTTCCAATTCGGCTCTTTTTTGGGAAATCGCGTTCCTCTGAATTTCCTTTGCCAAATGAGCAGCTTTTACTTCTAGTTCCCTAGAAAAATATTGTATCGTACTATTATTTTGTAATAAAAAATAAAATAACTACGATTATTAATTTATTTGTAATTTACAATAATAATAAAATAATAGCCATAAACATTTTCTATAAATTTCCATTAATAAACATACCTACTTAAAATAATAACGGTAACGAAACCTGGCTAAATTTGTAATTTTAATTATGTTTATTACTTGAAATCTGATGCATCTCTGTTTATTTCAGTCGTATAATCTTTTAATGATTCATCAAATGTTGATTTGACACCATATTTTATTTCATTTCGTTTAAACATATCATTTACATCCCAACCATTCTAATATTTAAAAATTAAATAAAACATTACATTTAAATATAATATTATGTACTATACCTAGTGAATATAATATCCAATAAGAATTAATTAATTTTAAATTTTCGATGTTGGTCTAATTAGTTATAAACAGTTCTCAATACTCCCATTAATAAATAAATGTTAATCAGGGCAAACAAAGAATTATACAAATTGTAACGTATAAAAACACAAACTATAATCTACGATTGTACATTTTTAAATGTTTTTTTTTCTATCAAAAATCACTGAATGTTTCATAATTGTAATTACTTACATCATTATTACTTCCAGAATCTATAATCTCAAATCGCCTCATATCATCATCATTTCTAGACAACGATACCCACACGTCCAGAACTTCATCGCGTTTATGGTTTTTACGATTATATTTACTGATAGCCGTATCTGTTTGGAATTTACAATTTTCTATAAATTTTAAAATACATTACATAATATGTTTGTTTATTTAATTCATTAACTTAAAATCAACATTTACTTACTTTGAGCCATACTACCTACAGTTGTGTTCCGTGAAATGAGCTAAACTATATAAAAAAATGTTAATATAAGCTGCAACAGTTAAACTAGTACCTTGGTTTGAAGGAGGTAGATCAATCCAATACAGTGATTCTACAACCTTGAAAATATACCTGAAAAATGTATATAGTTTAATAAGTTAATTCTTACTTCAACCAGAAATTCAATTACTATTACAAAAAATTAAATAAGGAATGTACAATAGAAAAATAGTGTGGATTTGTACGGACAAAAAAATATGTGTACGATGCGTATCAAAAGAATCGAAAAAGTGAAGATGTTCTATATTGAATCAATATTCAAAAGCCGGTTGCTAAGAAAACAATAAAAAAAAACTTAGAGCCAGTATATTTTAATATTTTTTAATTTGTTTTCTTACGCCGAGTATTTTTAATCATTTTTGAGAAGCTTCCTTTAAATTTTCTTAGACAGGGGAAAAATGGTTCCATTGTCCCTCCCCACCATAGCAAGCCTGATCGTAATGACTGCGATGTGACCCGCGAGTGTTTGAAAAGCTGATTTCTTCGCATGAGTTACGCAAGAGTTACAAAATACGAACTTGAAGATGACCGCAAACGGACCGTTACGTGCACTGCTTCGTATAAGACACGTAGAACTTTCTGTGCAAGCAAATTAAACATTACTTATAAAACCGGTCTCGTTTCGGCACACAAATGCAAAAGATGCAAGCCACTTTTATGACTACGCAACGGTACGAAACCGCGAAATATACATGCTATGTGTAAGCCTACTACGCTGCAGCAAGAACACAACAATTTTCGCATGGCTTTTATTTCGACCGCGCACGTCACTTGTAATTTATTGTGTGGTTTTCACCACTTTCGGAAATATATATTGCAGTTGATTAAGAACTAACCACACGAGCGTTCGCTACATTGTTCTATCGTACTTGGTGAGAATCAAGAGGACTAAGATTAATAAAAAAAAAAAAAAAGGCAAACCTCCCCGGTCGGGTGAGACTCAACGGTCACGTTCATCAGGAAGCGTTTGCGCTGCGACGGATACACTGGCTATAGTTGCATTAGATAATATCGTTTCCATTTCTTTCAGTACGCCGATACGCACAAAAATGTCTTCTCCCTTCTTTCTGCGTATATTGACACGAAATCAGTGGCGGATGGCACAAAAGATATAACGTTCGTAGTGAACCGAATAGGAATAAGATATTCCGGTTCGTATTTATATATATTTCAGAACTTATATCAGTTCAATAAACAAAAAATATATTACACCATACAAAACGTTTCGTGAAGACCATCGTGTATAAAACAATCGTTTTATGGCTTGTGAACGTTGAGATATATTAGAATCGGATGCGTATAACATATTTTTGTCTGCAATCAAGACATTTATTTTTTTTGTCCATTACATCGATGTTATCGACACAATTGTATTGCAGAAATCTTCAAGAGCAATCTTACACGTACACATACATAGTCTGCGGTAACACCGAATATAGCTCTGGACCATCGCACATAAAGCAAATAAAACAATATCTGAACGCCACACTCCCAACAACAGTGGAAGCCTGGCTATAGGATTTAATTTCTAAATACATATAAATCATCTCAATAATGATTGCAAGTATATGATATAAATGTAAATTGTACATGTCACCGGCAATATGGATAATCCGGTATTTTGCAAAATGCCTAGGCACTATATAAAATTCTAAAAATCACTCGGCAATATACATAATACGAGCTTTGCCTAACTTGGCATTATGTATAATGCCAAACGTGGAGTAGGCAAGATAATAAAAATAAACGAAATTGGGCATCGCTTATTACCAACGACTTTACTTACCGTTTATCATAAATGTGCGTGCACGATTTAACGCAATAAAGATTAAGATTCTTTTACTATTATAATAATAAATTTGAGGTAAAATATTGAACGTAATAATAATTTTATTACAATATCGTCATTTTTCTTGTCATTTTCGTGTCTCGTTATGGTTTACAACTATGTATACTATTTATATGAAGTCAAATTATTATAACAAAATACAAATTTTTTTTTTAAAAATTTGGCCACTAGTTTTTTATCTGATAAACAGTATAATGAGTCGATAAAAATTCAACACACAAGAATTGGGCGAGGATTTTTAAAATTTGTAAGTTCAAAATTAAAAATATATTTGCCTTATTATGTTGTGTATTTCAAAATGTCACTTTTCTACAACATGTTATAATAAGTAAATAATAGTTTATATAAAATATTTATATAATAGTAATAATATAATAATAGATAAAAATTAAATGTTGTCTGTAATACGAGTAGGTACTCGTATTACAAATAATACCTAATAATATATAATAATTATAAAAATCTTAATGTAATATAATATATAATAAAATGTTTTGTACTTTGTCTAAAAAAATATTGGCATTTTGCATAATGCCTAGGTATTTTATAAAATATTTAAGTTATATATAAAATAATATTGAAAATCATATTTTTTATTTATATTGCCTAAAATGGCAGTATTAATATGGTAGGTGGCGGGCTGACTTCCGTCATCGAAGCATGTCCGACCATGTAGTTGCTTAACACGAATGGTACATCGGGAGGTGTTGTTAACCCAGATCGGCGTGTATCTTACGCGTCTTGTCGCCACACCAAGTTTGGCCCAGCTAAAACTGAGGTCGGACTCGATGAGGCTCAAAATTTTCGCTTGATAGTTTCCGAGCGGTGACTGGTCGCTCGGGGTCCCTCTAGTTAGGGGACTTTCACGGTACGGAAGTCGGCAGTCCGCCGCTGGTGGTCCGGTTAGACCACCCAGGCTTCCTGGTACCCCAGGGGGCCTGTTTCGCCCATGCCTTTTGAATAGTGTCGCGCGCTAATAGGTGTGTGGAGGAATCTGGCCCCGGCCGCAAAACCCGGACTTCTTGCCTAAAATGGCAAAAATATTGGCAATTTGTATAATGCCTAAGCATTTTCCAAAATATCTGAACTATCTATAATTCCGGTAACATATATAGGTACTGCAGTGAAATTTTATTGAAAATTAAAAGAAAGGTATCTATTGGATTTCATATGTATTTATTCAAAAACAAAAATAACTAAATATCATAGAATCGAAAGGAAAGTGTACTATATTTCTTATTATATAATAAGGATATATATGTTTATTTATATACGCAGAGGTACATTAAAATGTGGACAGAAAAGGCCTCTGACATAAGATTTAAAGCAACTTTTTTGAGACATCATATAACTCATATAATACTTACATTATTAAATTGAAAAGTGCTGCTCGAAATAGTTAATGAAATTAATAATTTATAATCTCTAAGTATAAAATATTTTGGATTTTACTCTTCCATTTTAAAGATTCCATTAATTTATTTAATTTTCAACTTTTTTTTATCCTTTTTTTATGTTATTTTTAAGATATGACTATATTTTATTCACACAGCACACAGTGTGTTATATGTTAGACGTTATTATATTTTGTATATATACCTACTATTAATTTCAATAATTTTTTTTATAGGTACTCTTTTTTAGTATTTATCGATATCGTGCCAAATCGTACAATAATATTATTCTAAAACAGTCTAACCTTTCCAATGAAAGTCAAGTCAATATATTTTAATGAAGTTTATTTAAAATGTGTGTATTTATATAACATTAGTTTTTATTTATAAGTATTATACCTTTTGAGAAATAAAAAAAACAAATTGCGATAAAATAATATTTTGTATGATAAATGGAAACTATGATGTTCGAAAATAAAAATGTAACTGAGAGAATCAACGACATGCATCGCACGTGTTTAAAATTTTATTCAAAGACCAAGCATGCAAGAGCGGGGTTGCTAAATTAAACTACAATAAATCATAATTAATGTAAATTAAAAAAAATATTAATATAATATAAATATAGAAATTAATAACATACCTTATCATCATTAACAAATGTAAATATAAATATCTATATACTAATAAATATATAAATACGGTAGAAGCCGTTTATTAAGAACACTTTTGGACCAAGGAGAAATGTGTCAATTAACAGATTGGTTTTATTTATTAAAACATTAAAACATATAGTTCGAAAAAAATTATCTACTAAAATAAAAATGTAATTGCTAAATAAAATATGTGTTTATCGTTTATATATTGTTTTGCGTCCAGTAACTTGATGATCATGGTTTCGTAAAAACAATGTTGCCCAAAACCTTTTTCATCCACACGAAGCAGGACTGCTCTCCTGAGGACACTTAGGACTTCTACAATTTTTTTACTTCATGGGGATGTCACGGTTTTTTCTTTTTCGTCGTCAATGAAGCATATATTAAACTGTCCGAAGATTCATAACCGCATTGCATATCTCTTCTCTATTCGAACCTCTGCAACATCGAGGTATGAGTCCATGTCGATTTACTCTTCGTAGGCTTCTTCGATATTTACATTGTAATTACAAACAAATTTGGTGATCACCAAATAACAGGAATTTTTGACGACCATGGCCCTTATTATTTGAAAAAACCGATCTGTTGATTCAATAATCCGATTGATTTTCAATACTTTAATATTTATATATCTATTATAGCTATATTACTTAAACGCCAAAGGTGTAAAATTAACATATAATTTGCGCCATAAATAATATTTTATATAAATATTAAAAATTCAATTATATTTTAAATCCATAAAATATGTAATAATGTACATAAAAATAAATGAAAATAAATATAATTTTAATAAATTTATTGAATTTTCAATCCAATTTTTTTCGTGTATTCTGAACGACTTATTTCACCAGCCTGGTATTTCTTTTATTGAAAAATTATATCTTCGTGAGATATTTTTTTTTTTTAATATTAGGAGGAGAGTTGATAAATAATTATATTTCGTAATTGTAATTTTAATAATATATTAATAGCTATATGAACAGAATATTAAGCCACATAAATAGGTCTTTTAAATGTCGATGATATGATT